CCGTTCGGGAGCACCTTTGTCGAGGACATAGCCCTGGACAAAGGCCTCGGCAATGGCTGCTTGCTGACTGATTGGCGAGGGGCCATGCCATAGGCCATCGAGTGAAGTATTCTACGCCAACCAGCAGGTACTTGTTACCCCTAGGGGTCGCAGGGAAGGGCCCCAATATATCGAGTGAGACGAGTTCATTAACCCGAGAAACCGTGATAGATTGTATCAGCAGGCAGGCGCCATTTGCTGGTGGCTTCCGTTGGGCGCACTGAGTACATGCACGCAGGAGGTCATCCACATCCCTTGCCATGCCCGGGCAGAAGAAATCCAGCTGGAGTATGGCAAGGGTCTTGTGGGTCCCTAGGTGCAAAAGTCGCTCGTGAGCAGCCCACACGGCCTTACCCCGCAGAGCGGAAGGCACCACCAGCCTGTGACGGCGGGCCCTCCCATCCCAATGCATAAGGAGCCCCTGGTGCAGCCCGAACGAATCAACCCCCGTCACCTCCCTCATGGAACCCCCTGCGCGACGACGCAACGCAAGGAGGGACGCGTCCTCCATCTGGAGGCGCCCCCATTCCGCAACAGACAATCCCAGCAAGGAGTCCACTCCCCCCTGCTTGGCAGGACCCGCAGGCAAGAGGTCTTCGGTGGTAGCAGCAAGAATCGGAACGTTTAAGGGGGGGCTATCATCTGGCAGCTTACAACGCCCCGATCCCCTGAGACAAGCGCAATCTGAGGCGGGTGTCAGGCGAGACAGCACATCCGCATTAGTGTGCCGAGCACCCTTCCGATATGTGGTTGTGAAATCATAATCCTGAAGGATCTCGAGCCATCGGGACAATTGCCCCGAAGGCTGCTCTACCCGCAAGGCATATTGTAATGCCGCATGGTCCGTACGGACGGTGAAATGCCGTCTGTACAGGTATGGGCGATACTGTTGTATAAAAAATACAATGGCCAACAGCTCCCGACGTGTGACACAGTATCTCTGTTCCGCCAGAGACAAAACCCTACTGCCATAAGCCACGACGCGCTCCACACCACCGATCACCTTTGAAAGCACACCCCCAATACCCGTATTGCTGGCGTCCGTATCAAGCAGGAAGGGTTCGGAAAAATCGGGGTGGCTCAATGGTGGGGCCCGCACGAGAGCGTCGCGAAGGGAACGGAAAGCGACCTCCTCGTCCTGGCCCCACTGAAATTTCACTCCCTTTGCCGTTAGAGCATGTAAGGGCTTAGCAACGGTCGTGAAGTCCGCAAAAAAACCGCCGGTAATAAGATGCAAATGCAATGAAACTCCTGAGCTCAGCCACCGAGGTGGGGGTCGGCCAGGAGCTGACACACTGCGTCTTTGCGGGATCGGTGGATATGCCTGAGCGGCTGACGATGTGCCCCAAATAGCGTACGGATTCTCGGAGCAGGTGGCACTTTTGTGGTTTATTTGAACAGTGAGAGACAGAATAACAACAAAAAAATCCAGAAAAACGCATGTCAAAAATGTTATAAATTGATTTCCATTTTAATGAGGGAAATAAGTATTTGACCCCCTCTCAATCAGAAATATTTCTGGCTCCCAGGTATCTTTTATACAGGTGTAGTGGGTTCCAGGACAGGGAGACGGCAGAGTAGAGGCAGCACTATTTATTGAACAAGGGGGTCACACTGGAAGGGATAGGGGCCCCTTCACCCGTATATACTCAAGAATAACCCCAGGCTATCTAGCCTAAGCTCTAGGCTCCCGATTCCTCCGGCTATAGGCGCTAGAGGAGGCTATCTGATCTGGCCCTGGTCAGACACAGATCTCGGCACCCCACCCACCAGACCGGCCCTTAAAAGGACTCCGGCTCTGGGGCTCTTGGGCCGCACCACTGGCTTGCTGTGCCGGCCCTGAAAAGGGCAGCGGTCACAGGAGTCCCAGGGTCTATCTTAGCCGGCCTTCCTTCTTCACTGGCGCTTCAGTCTTGGCCCCAACACACTGCCCCGAGCTCTCTGGCTCCCCGCCCTTTGTACCCACTGAGGGTGGATCAATAGCAGACGTGGTTGTAGCCACCAAGGTGTGGGTGTGCCACACCTTCCCACACCGTGTGTTTCTTCCCCATAGCACCCCTACAAATGTAAAACAAATGCAGTACTTAACTGCACATTTTTGTTTATTTTATAAACTGCATATTATTTCATGTTTTACACTACAGTTTAAGTTGATTTAGTCTAACCGGGTGAGAACTCTAAGAGACCAGGAATTAGTCTAATTTGAAAAAGTGACCTGGGTCATCGAAATGATGAACGCAAATTAAATTAAATTCAGAACAAAAGCAACTTCATCTATCACGTTGAGAGTTTTAAATATTGCTGACATAATTGCCTGCAGTGCAAATCGACTCGGGCAGAGATTACGTCCAGATCGAATAGGGAAGTACAATATTGCAAAAGCCGTAGCTCATAACTGGAACAAAATTAGTTAGCACTCTGTTAAACAACTGTGCGCAATTGCTCAAGATTGATCATTTTTTTTATCTATGGGTTTGGTCCCAACCGCCTGCTGTGAAGCGAATACACTCTACGATATGTCCGTGTATATGTCAGTACTATGTTAAGGAGCTAAATGCCAATGTCGAAGTCTGCCAACCATGACAGGGCTTCAGGAAAGCATTATCTACATTAATACAGCAAAAGCCCGCGCCTTCAGTGGGTTTTATCTCAACAATAAAGGGGCCCGGTGATGCTGGGGGATCCCTGCCTGGTTGGTTATTTCGAAAAGTTTTTTGGTTTGGACATGTTTGTTTTGTTTGACTGATGGCCTTAATATAAGTTTTCTTGTGGTTGTTGTTGTTTGACTTGCATCCCACTGGGATTTTTGCACACAGCGTTAGTGGTGTACGGTGCTTTCTCAGGAATATTTTGATGTTTTTTCATGGATTTTCTGTTTGCACAGTCACACATAGTCACTTTAAGATGTTTTCTTGTTCGTTTTTTTGTTTGTTGTGGTTGCACCCGATTCAAGACCCGAATGGCGCACAGGGCTATACCAAATAAATAAACTGAAATAAATAAATAAATAGCCTGAAATTGTGTCCTGCTGTACTTGCATTGCGCTTGTTTGCGACATGTATTTAATTTACTATTATTCTTGTTTACCCAGGAAAGCCTCACTGAGTCTTATGGCTCTTTAACGGGAAGGGCCCTGCCAAGCTTTCTCAGTAATCTGCGGGTGAAATTGTAGATTATTTTTGTACATTGGGACCATGACGCCGGCACACAATGGCCTAATATTGAGAATGACGTCACGGCATATTTAACGTCTAACGTGAAGCAGAGGGCGTGTATTGTAATAACCAGGGCAGCCGATGGGATTCGAATCGTGGAACCTCTGCAACAAGCGATGAACGCAAGGCCATGTCACCTTTCCAAACTTCCCCCTTTACCTCCAAACACTTCCCCCCCCCATCCGTCACCCGTGCAGGCTTCCGTGACCCATCGATATATTTTGCACATTTACCACTACCACCACTGAATACAATTTCTGTATATTAGACGTTACGGCTGTCCACACTACACTACAGTAGAACAATAACTGTTCGTAATTGTAACGCAACTTCATAAAAAACGTACATTTCCAATGCTGAGTATTGATATCTGTGTTGACTTATTCGACTGTACATTTCTTAATGACCCGTTTTAAAACGCGCTATAAACACGGATACTGTGTAATAGTCAATTGTGCACCGTACAGTATGTCATACTTGCACGAGAGCGCATATTTGAATGTTACTCTTTTATTTTCAAGGACTGTTACGGTTTAAAACACTTTCTGACCCCATCTAAATAAGGTTTGCCTTTTGGCAATGGAAAGTCATCCGGCTTAAATGACAGCTGAGGACAACTGTTGACCTTAACACTCACCCTAAACAACCCAAAGCATAGCTTTGGTCGCCCGTGTCTTGAATGCAATACAGGACGAATAGCTTTCCTCCATCTCAACGCGAATAGCATCAGGTCAATGCCATACAAGATAGGAAAGCCAGAGATTCCATAATCACCACATTCTGTGTAGTGTAAGTTCAAATTCAATGTATAGTGTTCAAAATTACATTTTTTTTACTTGAATAAATGTGAACAACTGATAGCAGCAGTGATGCACTGATAGACAGTTGCATGTGGACAATTTCATGCGTATTAGGACTCATCAGCTCAGTATACGTGACCAATACTCAAATCTTGCAAAGTCTTCATCTGAGAACCATTAGCTTTGGCTTATAGAAACAATAATCGTCTGCAAATAACTACACAGATTGCCCAACAACGCAATCAATACTGAATGTACAACTATTGCAGTGTGTTAGTCATAGCCAATTTCATTATGAATCCCATTACATATTCATTAATGGGCCATATGGGCAACTCCTGGCCGCAGACGTCACTCACATAGAAAATCCATGGGCAATGCCTGGGTATAGACGTCATTCACATAGTAGAGGCATGGGTAATGCTTGGACAGTGACATCACATCGTAAAGCCATGGGCAATGTCTTGACGATAACGTCACTCACATAGTAAATCCATCGGCAAAGCCTGGGCTGTGACGTCACTCACAGTAAAGCCATGGGCAATGGCCTGGACTGTGACATCACTCACAGCCGTAAAGCCATGGGCAATGGCTTGACATTTGACGTCATCCACATAGTAAATCCATAGGCAATGCCTGTGCTGTGACGTCATTCACATAAATTTCGATTGAAAGCTTTCGTGACTGTAAGGATTCATCTTCTTTGGTTCTTTCGATAAAGTCACGTAGAATTTTATTATTTTATTCTCATTCTACGTGACTTTACCGAAAGAACCAAAGAAGGCCATTCACATAGTAAAGCGATGGGCAATGGCCTAGACTGTGACGTCACTCCACAACTGTAAACCATCTCCGATGACGTTCTTCACACAGCCCGCGCGCGAGCGGCACGACCGTCGCGAGATGACATCATCTCGTGATGAAAGTGACGCAATGTTGGTCCGGTGACGGTGTGGGAGAGAGACACAGACACACACACACGTGGTGACGTAACGCGGAACGCGCCCGGGTGTCACGTGGGGCGGCGGGCACGTCCCCGTGTTGACGCGATAGGAGAGCGGTGGTGGTTTTGGGGGACGCACTTGCAAACAAATTTTTTTGTTTCTTTATAACCGCGGCGTTCTCTCTCGCCAGGTTCACCGACCACCGGCACTCGGGCGCGCGATGGCGACTTGCTAAGTCGCCGGGTCGTGGTCTTTTTTTTGTTGTTTTCTGCGGTCGGCGGGAGCGAGAGGTGGGTGGGTGGAGCGGTGGGGGGGAGACATTAACGGGCCAAATGGAGGCGTCCGTGGTCAAAGATGAGTCGAAGGGGGGGCCCGTGTTGCACGTAGCCGTGGTGGGCTTCCACCACAAGAAGGGCTGCCAGGTGAGTAAGGGCCTCGGCTCTCCTGTCGCCCGCGTCGTGTCGCCTCCGTTAACGCTCAGGGCGCTGTTGACCCAACCATGCGAACCCCCGTCGCCCATTCAAGACGAAACACCCTTTCATTTAAACACCTTTTCAAGAAGCCGTCGCTCATTCAAAACTCGGCACGCGTGTAACTCATTGCCATCGTCTATGCGCCGTCCGTCATCGCGAGAAGGGCCTCTCGTTGCCAGCCTGACCCGTCAGCCGGCGTCGCACATTTAAACGATTCATCCGTGTCCCCGATGTTCATGGTCACCGCAGTCGCATGTTTCAATCCACCACGAGATTTTATCGTCGGCGAGAGTGCCCCTTGGCCACGTTTGCTTGGTTAGCGGCGATTGCACATTACCGTTCAACAACAACATCACCTATACAAACCATCGCTCCGTGACGATTTTAATGATCGCCCTGTGAAAAGTTAGCGTCCACCTTAAGGCGGGACCAGGTGAGCGCCTTCATTGGCTTCATTGCCCATGATGATTTACCTCCCGTCACCCATTCTGCATACGTATCTATAAAATCCACCACATCACAATTGATCACCACCAAAAAACCTGCGAGGTGAGGCTTTCCCTCATCGCTGCTTGTTTGTTACCCATTCAACACATAACCAATTTAACCAGACAGCCATTCGTATGATAACCCGCCGTCACCATATTTACTCACAAGCTTGGTTAGACCAGCAACCACCATTAGAATGGCCAAAAACTGGTGCCACTTTCAAAAATTATGCTTATTGCCGATTACCCTTAATGGACTTCCTTGCTTATAAACCAATAACCTCATTACCCACAACTGTTTCTAACTCGTGATCAATTACCTACTTTACTTGTGTCATTACCACCACCTACATCATTAACCCGTTCCTTCACCAAATCCCTTCATCGCCTTCCACCCACTCACTACCTTCTCGCCGATATCCCGTAATCTTTCGCATCATCTTTTCCGTCCACTCCATTGAGGGTCCCGCATATCCATCCAATATCCCAACATCCTCCTTTATCATGCTCTCTGCATCCACCGTCCATGGGCCCCTTTCTAATGCCTCGGGTACTTGTATCGGGTAAAACTGAATCCCACTCTGGTCACTCTTCCCTGTCCCTCTGCTTAATCTCCTTTCCAAACGATTCAGGATTCTTTTATTTCGTGCAAGTCTCTTCATGGCCTGCTCGACCGGCTGACCTCTTCTCCAGACTCCCTTGTTCCCTGTTCCTTTAACCCCATATACCAAAACCACTATTATTTAGTTACAGTCCCAATAAAATGCTCCTTTCAAGAACCCTGCCTCAGTCGGGTATCTATTGACTCCGCTGCCCCTTGGACCAAGCAGCGTCTCATTGTAACAACTGTGTTCTCCCACTCACCGGTCTCTATCTACACCCTTTTTTACAAGCATTGTTTATCTCACTTGCAACTTAATTGCCACGTGTAAAGCTCGCCCGATAATTATCTATCTCTTGAGAATACATGACGCAAGGTGGTGTTGCGTTTGTATCCATTGTAAACTTGAGGAACCAGTTTGGCAACCCACGTGGCTATCCCACATGAACAGTTTCTCTTACTCTGTGGCCCATCATGTAATTTTATTGGTTGATACAAATCCCATTCGATTAAAAGATCATCATTGTCAACATTAGCCGTGATCCACCCACTGCCAGATGAAGGCCTCTCCATCAATTCCATCACTCATCTGGTGTTGGGATGCCACAATCCATTTTGCTTCCGCACTTTAAGTTGATCTCATGGCGAAACATTTGCAGATTATTCCTGTTAGGGTTGTACAATAAATGGAGCTGACGAGCTATGTGTGTCGTCCCATGGGGAGGGGGTGTCCATTATATCCCACTTTGCTCACCTTACATGTCCTATCCTGACAATTCATTATTGTTTAAATATATTTCATGCCTATTTGAGAGTATAATGATTTTCAGGTCAAGTACAGATGTCAACACTGGAACGCAACTTAACACATTCTGTTTTTTTTCCACTTGAGCATTCGTTATGAATGGCATTGAATCAAAAACAGCATGAGATTTTCTTAATATTTATAATGTGCTAGTGTGGAATGTTGCTTTTGTCGCATGGATTTTAAATTGCTGACTGTGTAAAAACGCGAGCCCTTGTTGTAATGGCGGTTTTATTTACTGAGAGGAAAGAATGTAGCAGATGGTAAGTTAACAGAAACACTAAGTGAACATAACCATTTTATTTACTCAGTTTGCCTGCAAGTTTGAGTCTGAACATGTTGGTGCTATAATTATTTGCTCCATCGACCTTGATGTTTCGTACGAAAATTTGACAGTACATGCATAATGGTACATTCACGATTAAAATGTGCTGTACAGATAAATTAAGACGTCAAACCACGTGTTACCATTACATTTACCAGGGTCGTAGAATCACAAATGTCATGTATAATACACTCTCAGCCCAGGTTGCTTAACACTTAAATAATTACCTTCAGTCTACTGTACTGTTCTGCAAGTGCTAAATGTAATATTGAATACATTTGGTATTTGTCATTCTCATAGTGCAAAGCCATTACCAAGTCTGCAGTAGTTTGACAATATAGGGCCAAGTTTCTATGTATAATCAGAATCGAGTCATTTGCAGGTAATTTTTGGAATTTGGCAAATTTATGCTACGACGCCTGCTAGCACACCATGACCTCCGTATTTCAAAAGACAGGGGACCCTTTTCACTTCTACTGTGAGGCAGACTGTGCGTATTTTATTGTTAATACACCCCGCAGTAATAACCAATGCTAACTGCCGGTTTTTGCACTGAAGTTCAACAACAACCACCGCTTGGCTATGTCACCATTGCAATGGATAGATAAAAGTGGCAGGTGGGGTATCAGGCTGTGATGTGTCAAGACGGTGAACAAGTGCATTGTGGTCATCCTAAAGACCATGAATGGGGATTATTTCAGTACTTTTGTAAATATACAGTAAGCACATGCTGTACTGCATATGTGAGGACATCGAATTGTGTGAAAGTAAGTTTGGTTATGTTTTGTACATAAAGCAGGTGCTTCCAGATACCTTTGAAGCAGAAATGTAATTAGGCAAACATATGGATCAATATTTTGTAAATTCAAGGTACGTGGTTTCTGGCTTGGGTTTAACTGAGGTCAAGTCCAATGCCATCTTTTATTATAAGGTACTGCTATTTAGTCTCAGTATGAGACGTGTAAACATAAAACTAAATATTTACCTTGTTTGGCCAATTCAATATATCATCTAGTTTGTAGTGAAATAATGTTTTGACTCGGGTAAATCTAACTGGATTGCTCAGTCTGCATATATGTATGCCTTAGGACCCATTCTGTGGTCTGTTGGCAGTAGTAAGCATATGTCTCGAGGGAATCAAGTTCTAATAGCCTGATATTGATTTTTGTGGCCAATCATTAGCCCTCCTGCTCAGAGTATGTTGCCAGGAGGGCATGGTGCATGTTTATAATTTTTGGCAACACCTTTAACCCTGAGCTTTTGTGGGAATTCATTTGGAGAGTACTTACAAGTCAGGATTCTCGGTGTCAGGTGAGGCCATTGGAGTTAATGTGAGGGGACCCAATTATGTCTGTTGATTATCCCCAATTTAGCACTCCAACAACGAAGCAGCCGGCTATTTAAATTGTCTACACATGACAGAAACTGCTCGAGCGTATTAGTCTTCTGCACATGAATTTTGCTGCAGTTTGTCCTTCGAATGGCAATAATTTTATTACGTTACGTTCACATACAAATCTGGTCTTGAAAAATAAATACGAACAGCCATATATATTGCATATGCTTAACAATTGAGTAAATCAAGCAATTGAATGTAGTTTTAATTAAAGGAAGTGTGACCAAAGTTCGTGCTCAGGTGCTGGACTTGTTTGGCCTGAAACATTTTTTTCCCTGGAGGTTCCGTGTCCAGTCACTATTCAGTGTTAAAACCATTTGCAATGTGGAAAAATGTTCCTATTAACTCGTCTCAACGTATTTTCATACCATGCCTATTTTTAGATCTTTCCAAAGTCCACTTTAGACCTATTTTACAAAGGTTTTGAAAATTAAAACTGTTATATGTTTACCAATAAAAATATGGAGTTGACTAAAGTCTTACTCTTACAATTAGCACATGAAAGAGTGAAAGCCTTTCACGCTTCTCACTTTTCAAAGCTATTGTTATGTATTAGAAGCAGTGTGGAGTAAAATAACACTTGAGTTATGTTATTTCAGGATGATGAATAGGAAATATATTGCTGTCAAATAATTAATTATGAGTTATTAAAGGTCCATTTATTATGCTCATGAATTGGGTAAAAAAACCCTTTTACAATTGACAAGTTAATCGCTAATTAATTAAAAACATCCGTGCGCCTTTCATTAAGCAGCCTTAGTGTAATGTTAGGCTGTAATAATACGTGATCTTCACCAAAAATTGCATAATTTTACATATGTTTTAATTCAGAAGTGATTGTGTGGGGTGGCACGTGCCCCCCCCCCCCCCCAATGATCCGATCGAAATCCCTTATTTCGATCGGATCACTGGGGTTTATTAGTAATAAATCGGCATTCTGCGACCCCCACTGCCACTGTGTCGCATATTATTACGTGCCAGGCACTCTATGAGATGATAGGACAATAGTTTGAGTCCATAATTGGCAATAAGTAACGGAAAAGCAGTTGTAAGTGACTCTCAGAATTTTGCGCAGTTGCGTATACAGGACACGACTTCCCTGAAGGCATCAACACCTTCAGCGAGCGCGATGCCGATCACACAACGCGGTTCAAATTCGACCCTCGATCGATGGCTGTGCCATCGCCGCACACGCGTCGAATAAAAAGCAAGGGACAAGTCTTTACTTACTAACAACGTCTACCATTTTTCATTGCTGGAGGGGTTGCCCCCCCCCCACCTGAAAATCCTGGCTCCGCCATTGTGTGTAACACGTGTGAAATTAATACCATATTAAAGATGCTCAAGGGAAAAATGTGGTCTTTTTTCACTATGTCACCAAGTAAGCTCATGAAGATGTTTTATTTTGAAATTTTCTCTTGTACATTATTGAACACATTTAGTTTGGAAAATATGTACTGTAGGGCACCATCCTTTTAGCTCCCCATTCTAAATAGCCCACTGTAGAAAAACTAGCGTTTCGGTTGTAGGTTTTATCCTTTGAAAATCGTGGACATGCAAAAAAAGTTCCTTTCTAATTGTTGCCGTTTAGTATCTGAGATTAATAGCTAAATTCTGAATACATTAATGAAATAATAGGTAAAAAATTGTCCATATGCTTTTTGTCAAGCCTCTTACTTGGATATAATACACTTAAATGGTTATTTAAAATACAATACTTGGTTAATGAGTTGTAATGTCAAGGTCAAAGATCACATTTTTGAAGGGTCATCCCAGAAGGCACCTGTAATGTTGGTCAAAATCATATAAGTAAATTTCTCCAGGTAATGTATTTTATGAGAATCTGGAATGGTCATATATTGGTCCAGGTGACATAATGACCACAATATACACAGAGGGGCTGAATATTACTGTTGCAAAGTAGTGGAATGTGACCTGCTGGAGAATAAATGTGCTGAATAAGTCATTAAAGTTAGTGGTCCTCCTTTTTTTAACTCGGGATACTGGCCCTGCCCTTTATAAAGTGACATTTTATGTCATTACACCCTACCATGCCAAATCGCTCTCCGTGGTGCTAACGTTAAAAAAACGCCACTTTTTTCAAATTTTCTTACTGTGGTTTTCACACCTGATGATGATTGCTTGTGTTGCAGTCGAACCGTCGTGATAATTTTATTGTTTTATATTTTTATTTTATTGTTTCCCTTCTACGTGACTTTACCGAAAGAATCAAGAATATGAATCTCTGCAGTCACGAAAGCTTTAAATCAAAATTTTGTTTCAGCAAGTTGAAATATTCATTTGATGACAATAAATTGACTACAGGTGAATGCACATAAATACAAATTTTCCACATTTGTGGTCCTTCCCCCGCACCTCTGAATAGCACGGTTGGCTTTATACGGTACGCAAGAAGTTCAGCATACATGTATGCACTTGTACAACCCTTGCAAGCGAAATGTTCTATAACAAGGGATCAATCGGGTAAAATATCTTGATAAAAAAGGATGGTCTATAAGGAGTCTACCATATTATGTGTGCTTATCGGAATAATTACACCATTACATATATCTGCAGGAAACATGCAGAGTTTACCATGTTTTCACATGCTGAAGAAAAAATGGCAAAAATATATGCAGAGCCCGCTACAGTCCCTCCTCATAGAAGATTTGCACACATCTCTTTTTCTCAATTAGATGTTTCATATATTGTACTCATTGTTTCCTTTTTAATTGTATAAGTTGAAAGAAAACAATTCGATACTAAAAAAGGTTGATACATTGGAGTGTAGTATTTATTTTTTTATGTAGACATTGCATTACTTTAAATAACATAATCGGTTTATTTTTGTAGGACACATGCGTGTATAGATAGGTTGTTTTGAAATCCATATTTTGTTTTGGTGGCATCTTTCAAAATAAATGCATAGAATGAAATGTTATTGTGTATACTGCAAACAAGCTCGAGTTTATATGAAATGCTGCCATGTGTAACGATGACATTTTGCGTAGAAAAGGAAAAACTGGAAATAATGTATTTTTTTCAGAAGCCTGGTCGTGTATAAAAATCAGTCCTGGACTTGCATAGAGGATTCTAACATTTTAAACTCGAAATGTGTTCAAGATATCTGAGTTTCCCTGCAGTGGACTGACTTGGCAGTGTGCAATTTTGCAGTTGAATTCAATTTTGTATCAATGTGCACCTAAAGTGAAAAGTAAATGTGATATTTTAAAATAATATAGTTGTGTTAGACAGTTATGGTTAAAATCTTACACGCGCTCTCAGAAGTTTGCAAGATTAATTTCGTGTTGAATTCAGCTTGGTACTCTTTATCTGTACAAGCAATATGCACCAATGTAAATAGAGGAGGTTGCAGAATTGATGAAGGGTGTTTTCTGAGACAGACATTGGGATGGATTACGAGAGCGCCACAACGAAAGCCAAATGGTGTAAATTCACTCTAATAGCGTACCTTTTGAGCACAGGTGTCGGCTTTGCAACAGATATGTAATCTCAGTGATGGAAGAAAGTGATAGCATGGTGTGGTGGCATCAACGGCATTGGCCAGAGTTAAATATTGCTTTTTGGCCCGTGTCAGACGCGCATTTCCAAGACGATGTAGAGACGGTGCCGCATATCTCTCTGCTGGTGCAGGTGGAGTTCTCGTATCCGCCTTTGCTGGAGAAAGAGGGGCATGACAGCCACAGCCTACCCGAGGAGTGGAAGTACCTGCCCTTCCTTGCGCTACCAGATGGAGCTCACAACTTCCAGGAGGGTGAGGGCCACACTGTGTCTCTACTACCGTGCCTTTAACATGTGCAGCATTTATTAACCCCTAATGAGGCTGTGACTGCATCATGCAGCACTGATTTTAACAGCGTTGTCTTGCACACGACATGTTCAAATTATTGAATGCATAATGCAATTCAATGGGTGTCCATTGGAGAGTTTACACTGTCAATTGAACTAAAAATACACTTGCTAGAGCTTTATTTGTGTAGTAAAAGGTAACAGTGCAGCCTTGCAATTGCTTGCTCACGTGACTGCTAGCTGAAGGAGCACTAGGGGCTCTGTTCTTCCACACTGATAAGATGTGTTGCAAGAGGTGGGAGTACTCACACTTTACCCCACCACACACAAACCTGCTGATTGACCCTTTGTGGTGTACCCATTTATACTGCTTGGTGGAGTCATGGAAGGATTTTAAGAAACTTGTTGTGCCAGAAGATTGTGCTCTCCAATTGCATCACGGCAGATCCCCGTTTATATAGTGCCACGGTAACAGTCAACACCTTTTCATTTTGTATCGTGAATGTGGTTAATTATTTATTGAATGTGTGGGGCTCATTTATAAATGTAATGTGTTTTAATGAATGTAAATAATGTGTTCTGTACGTTGTAGCATCAAAGAGGCAGCCCAGGTTTTCTAAAGTGCTGGTCAAGTGGGTCCATTAGAAAACATGTATTAGTGTAATGCCTGTTCATGAATGGAAATAATTTCTTCCCAGTAGTGTGGAACCAAAAAGGGTGAAGTGGGGTTTAAGTGTTCCCTTCAAGTGGGCAAATATATAACCTGCTAAAACTACACTGAAAACGATCAACATATAAATGAAATCTACTGGATAAACCTGGCCATCATTATGTTAAACCCAGCGAGGATCATTTAAGGAAGCGTAAATGGATTCTCAGCCTACAGTAAGCAAACATCATTACTTTCAGTGCCAATTTTACCTGGAAATAACAACCTCGTACATCGATACGAGTATAGCAGGTGTTTTCTGATGAGAAGTCTGCAGCTCTGGAAACCAAACTATAAAATTTAAAGTCACGTAAATGATGTTTGTAAATAAACTACCAGAATACACACTTAGGGTATGGTGATATTTTCCACAGACACGGTGTTTTTCCTACTTCCTGCACGTGACGGAGAGAAAGGAACGGTGTACGGTGTTTCCTGCTACAAGCAGATTGAAGCAAAGGTTAGTAGAAATGAGAATTGCTAAAAAAACATCTTGTGCACGATATATTCTGGTACCAAATAGCATACTTACATTTTTTACATGAGGCATGTGCTTCAGTACAACATTCATCAGTGCTGGCAGCTAAATGCCTCACTTCTAATTTACAAAAACAAGCTTTAGAAAAATACCATTGCAAGTCCAGAATATATAAAATTGGAATTCATTTCTCATCCAATCTATGCTAGTGTGTTTTAGCAGCCTTAAATACAGTGAACATAAATGTTGTTTATTGTTAAGAAACCCTATTGCTCACCACATTAAGTGCAACGTATCAGACTTGTTGGGATCGTACAAGCCAAAATGATTGATATAGCATCCAATACAGAAGATTACTTTTGCAGATATTCTATACACACATCGTATGTATTGTAACACCATTTCTCATTGTGTGCTTCATCTTTTATAGCCCAGCATTCCATTTGTACGTCAACTAAATTATGAGAGCCTTTCAGAAGCCCTGAATCAAAAAGTTATAGAAAGTGGATCCCCCCCAGATTTAGGGGGACGACGGGTGAGGCGTAAAGTATCGACAAGCCCTCCACAGGAGCTAGAATAAGGCGGCCATAGGCCACTGAAATTCTAGTCTTGTAAATTTAAGTTGGCTTATTGTGCATTAAACTGTTGAAGTAGTATATTTTTGGCTTGCTATTATATATATTAATATGCTCAAGCATTGCTGCCAGTTTGTTTTGTTCTTTGAATAGTATGTCCGTTTAAATAATATCATGTTTCATCCAATATATATGCTGAATTGAGTGACTAATTGAAATTTAAATCTTGTTAATGAAAGCTGACAATTGACAGAAATATAGTTGATTCTATGCTTGTAACTAGAGAAATCCGAACATTTAACACTTTTGGTCTGCCAAAAAAATGTGGGTCTCACAAAATTAGAAGGCAAAAGGTGCATTGAACCTCAGCTTCTGAAAGTTTTCATCTGGAGGTTTTGAAGAGTGCAAAAACAAACATCAGATTTGCAAAATCCAAAAATGGAAATTTTGCAATTTAATCAAAGTATGACATTTCCATCATTGAATTGTTTGGGTAGCTTTCGGAATAGAGAAGCAATCTCTATGCAGTCTATATGCAGTAATACATTTCTAAATAACAGTGTGTTCATTTACACAGACACTGAAAGTCCGTGAAGCAGATGTGACCAGGGAGACGGTGCAGAAGAGTGTCTGTGTGCTCAGCAACACGGTAAGTGGAAATTTTGATGCAGTGTAGGTGAGAGGTGTACGAGAAACTCTCCTGGAAGATGAGTGCTTTCCAGCTACTAACTTTGCTCTTTCCATTAAATGTCAGCCTTTAGAAGGTCATATTTTTTTTCAATAATGTACGAAAACAAAACTCCATTTGGTTTATTTGTATGTGCATTCTCTTAGAGTATGAAAGAGTTGTATTTTTTGTATTCCTTTGGTTTTGGGTAACATTATTTTACATTGTGAAAATAACAACACGCAGCAGGAGTTGGTTTGCTGTATGGTGAGACTCGGGTAATTGATTTTACTTTTTGGGATGATACATGCCTGCTCATGCAAAAGCAATAGATTAAATACTTCTTTCAGTGTGTCTAAAATGTATGCACACTGTATTATAATAGTTTTGTGAATGATTTGTGGTCAAAATTGAGAGGACTGTTTAGAATTGACAAAAAATGTTATAAAAATAAAGCAGCAAGAATCTTTCAGATTTTCACACCTTTGTCTAAGTTATTATTAACAGTGGTGTATTTATAATGTTCATAGCAATTACTGTCGTTTGTTACGTGAATTTAAATACCAAGCAGACATCTGAATAACGCCTAAACAGGACAGATACAAATTATGTAGGTGCTTTTTTGGGACACTAATTATGGTATTGTCTTCTCAAAGGAAAATACTTGAACCATGTACAACATCACAAAATGGCTCTACATTTCTAACCATTCTCCACTTGGTGAAATAATTCGGAGACGTATAATGACCTGTTACATATTGATAATGATAGACAAGAGGTTTCCTATGGTATCATAAGTAGGAACATTTGAAAAGAATAAAGCATGCAAATGAGTGAGAGATCATATTGATTAAGATGGCTTTAAGATAATCAAATGTAGGTGTCTGAGAAAAACACTCAAGATTTGGCACACATTCATACTTAATGTTGACCTAAATAAGTCTGTAAACATTATTGGGCTTCCTAGATGTGAAGCTTTCGTGACTGCAGGAATCCATACTTTTTGGTTCTTTTGGTAAAGTTACGAAGGTAGAAAAATAATAATATATCATGACGTTTCGATAGCAACACAAGCGGTCGTCCTCAGGCGGAAAAAAATAACCCAGCAGTGGAACTGCTGAACCAGGAAAGAGCTGTTACAGCAAGAGGTTATATATGTGGCGAAGGGCAAGCAGGCGGGGTCTGAGTTGGAAAGGAATTCCATCCCCGCACGCAAGCACGTCAGCTGTGTTAATGGGAGAGATTAGGCATATAGATAAGGGGGGTTAGCAAGTTAATGTCATGTCTTTGTGTAACACAAGCTGCTGCGGCGCTGCCAACTGCGCTGTGAGAGGCAAGCGCGTCCACGCAAGAGAACCACAGCAACGGTGGTCGCGCCAGTGAGACACACAGCCAGAACCATCGATACATCGAGGCTAAGGGAGCAGAGGTGGCCATGTTAGTGAAACCCCAGCCCGTTAATGCAGAGGCACCCAACAGGGCAATGCAACTCAATAGACATGACATTAACTGCTGGATTATTTTTTCAACCTGAGGACGACCGCTTGTGTTGCGATCGAAACGTCGTGATATATTATTATTATTATTATTTTATTTTTCTACCGACGTGACTTTACCGAAAGAACCAAAGAGTATTATTGGGCTTATTGAAATTATGAAATCTTTTTTACATTTAAGTGTTTGTATAGAACTGATTAAGCGAATTTAATAAATTCATACTGGACCATAACATTTGATAATTATTTCAATGCATTACTTGATAATATTTACATTGGACAAATATTACCAGGTGTGAGGTTGCCATGCTTCAACAGCACTTTTTAGATATAATGCAGTGGTTTACATTAATTTAATGTACGGTAATTTAATTGTGCTGGAAATTATATGCCTAAACATGTCTTTTTGTGTTTAATAACATTCAGTTATATGACAGCTGATGCTAATCGCAGGAGGTAGTAAGTTACATTGATAGATAACAAATTAGTCATCCTCATCATAGGGGGAATTATACGTAGCTATAAATTTCCTTATAGATGATAAAACGTCTTAAACCATATATTCTTTACTCCTGAATAATAATGGTTTTGCAACTTAATACATTCCATCCTTAGTTATGAACATTATATTCTTCCAAAGCTGTGTATTTTATAGTTGCCCTTATGCTATAAAATATATAACAAACCAAGGTTCAAGATTTGCATTGTAATCCTTGTTAGTGATATGCAATACTGCTTTCTCAAATAAGATATTCACAGCAACTTGCCCTACCCTGGTAACTGGTATACATTGCTTACTGGTGTTGGGGATTTAGATGAAATGAGTACAGGACTGTTTTGCTGTTTATTTTCTATAATCTGAATACTCAGATTGTAAATGTTGTGGCTTGGCTCTCCAACACACCGGTATGCTGTACTTGTAACGAATTGGCATGTTCTGTTTACGTGACAAACCTTACTTATTGGCTGTGTAGGGTAGTGGCGGGTTTAACGACACATATTTACGCGATCTAACAAAAAAAACCTGTATTATGAATTATATTAGTCGCGAAAGCCTACGTATTAAACTCTTAATTTTGTGTTTTTTTCAAACCCATAGTAATAATATTAATTCCCAAGATTGTATTAACATAATCGTGCCTTGAAAAGGAAATTGACAATTCCGGGTTTAAAAACTTTATGTTAATGTGGGTTGATGTTTCATATGAATTACATGGACAATTTAAACAGTGGTGATCATTTATATGCAGCAGGATGCATTTTAAGCAGATGGCAAGTGGATGTGTATTCTAACTACAATCTGGCAGTTCTATGTCGGAAAAATTATGATTACAAGTGAGATAAAAACCTCAGTTAAACGTTGATAAGTTAGCTAAAGGTGATAACAGTACGCATGTTTAGCTTAATGCCCACTTTGACCTACAGCACTAGCTGTGGACTAACGTGTCAATATGTCACTATGATTGTTTTTATGTCGTTCAGCCACTGTTTGGTCTGCTGCAAGCAAAGCTGCAGCTCATTACGCATGCCTATTTCGAAGAGAAGGATTTTTCTCAGATTTCAATCCTCAAGGTAGGTGATTGCTGTGGCTACATCGCCTCAGTGTTATTGTTCCTAAATAAGTAAACAACATTCTGAAACCAACATTTGCGAGCGGATCTACTTTTACCGCATAAAAAATGTATGGTAAACTTTGCATCGTTACATTCTCATGTTTTTCATGCATGCATCATTAGCTCACTAATACTGGGAATTTACACAAGCTACGCAATCTGTCACAAATGTTGAATAGTCTTCATGTATACTTTTGGTGTAAATAATTCGCATGTGTTTTTTGCGTGACAAACACATTTATATTTAGGTAATCTAACCCAAAACCTTTATTATGGATAAATTATTTTAACTGGCATCTTTATAAAATCACTATGTAAATAAAATTTTAACATTTTTATATTATTTTAACGATTAAGATGATAATAAAATATTTTAACCTGTACTGTAATATGTTACTGGTTCTATAATGTTTTGCTGAAAACGTGAGACCCTGATAGAAATGATATACAAGGATCTACAGTGCTCAGCATCGTACGTAACACCACACTGCTGCACTCTACATTTTGGTTATGCAAGGCTGTATTGTTTCATGCTGTAGGAGTTGTACGACCATGTGAACAGCTCCCTCAAGGGAAGCCTGTTGGAAGGCTCCCAAGCGTTCCTAGGTGAGTCAAAGCTTTTACTTTTTCTGGCGCTTTGTTTACCCTTATTACAGGCCTCTGAAGGATTAATACGTTATCTTACGGAATGCATACATTGTCACTCACCTGCTTAGCTTATATAGTTTATGGGTATAAACTATATTGAATACAGCAGGTGTTTTACCATAGCAACCACTTTAATAGGTGCGTACAGTACACCAATCCTTAAGCTCCTTTAAATATAACATATCCCATAACCACATGGCTTAGCCTGTTTTCGTGCATATATACTGTAGTGTAAATACATCACCAAAGAAATAAGTATAAATATTGGAAATAAATGTAATCTAGGCATCCATTGATAATGGGCGTGTGGTGTTCTCTTGCTGTTCTGCTCTTTAATTGGTAATTTAAGTTGACAAAAGGTTGTCCCTGCTATACCTGTTGTAGGTCTGTCTGCACGTGATCTGGTGTTGCGTTTCAAGCACAAGGTAAAGCAGCACCGATACGGTGTTGCCTTTCTCTTACATCTCGCTGTCGCTGCTCTTTGTTTAACAGCTGTTGTTTGAAAAGGCATGGTGTGCAACTCGCAGCAGCGAAGCTGTACAGCTTTGTCAACGTCGGGATCATACATGGTGGTGACATTTGTACACGTCCTCCAACAGAGCTTATGTTATGTGGCAAGCAAGGCCCAAATTTTTATGAAGCATAGGCCTGAATATTGGAGGAGGAGTGACTATAAATTAAAAAAGCCTCCTAAGAGTGAGCCTTTTGGGTGGAATAAGTGGTGATTGTGGGTCCACCTGGATCCAGGATGTAAAAACATGGACCTCTCTCATTGCTCTCCAATTATTGCCCCAATGTATTTATGCTTTTGCTCGTACCTTTTTGCCTCAGAATATGTAATGATTGCAATCTTATTAAGCGTTTGTATCGTAAGTATAAATGTTGTGCTGGCATTCAAAGGTTTGCTGTATGTTAGAGCGCATAATAAAGGTATTGTGGCGTTAACCTCTTGAGCAGTGCAGAGGCACATTTATGGAAAATGCAAGGGGAAGTGCTGATGTTACAAATTGCGGATGGAGGCCTCGATGTTGCTCATATATTATTCTAAGGAAAAGTAATGTATTAATGTTCAGTGTATTTGTTGTGGTTGTGTACCACTGCAGACGAGTATCAACAAATAATGTGTTTTAATTAGAATGCATATTGGCTTTCATAAGACACGAGGTCATGCTACCAAAAGAGTAAACGCTTTTTAGGCATTGTCATTTTCACAGAAACATTTGTTTTACTGAAAGAAGCCATGTGTTGAACGGGGCCTGATATTATTAACGTGCAAGCACCGTGAAGAACTCGATGTATAATACACGTAAATTGATATCCCTATTCAGATTTCATGGGTAGCATCTGGCACACGTACCACGGGAGATTTTGCTGATTGTTCGGTAATGGTGGCAATGGTGTAGCTGTCGGTGAAAAACGGGAAATCCTGCTTTTGTACGGGGCTGCTCCGGGAAGGATTCATACATTGCACGGATCTGCCCTGGCAGCTGCCTGCCTGCCAAGCTGTCAGCTGACATACAGTGCTTATATACTTACTTATTTATTTGTCTTGAGCTTTTTGCCCCATTGTACACTGGGTTTCAATGTATAAGGGGATAAATTGCTCGACCGCTGGGTTTCCATTTTGACGTAATGGTGTAGTTTTACGTTATGAATTGTGTTTTAATGTAGATAAGTGTTAGGAAGGGCACAGGGAAAAAACATCAGTTCTATGGTAGGATGCATTGGCGGAAGTATCCACAAAATATTCCACAAATTTATATATTATCCATGTTTGTTATGGATTGCGGTTGGGCTACAGTATTTGGTCCCTGTACACTCAAGGTTAAGTAGCATAACAAATATAATTCTTTGTTCTGAAATATTTTTAAAAAAATTTAATGATTCGACCAAAGGGCATGTTTGTCTATTTTATGTGTTGGAATTCTTAAAGGAATGCGGCTGAACTTTGTTTAGAACAGGAAACATGCCTCTTTATTTTTTGTAACAATTTAATCAAAGAAATACAATGTTGCTAAAATCAATACACTCTGAAACATGATATAAACTGGAGCATGGGGCATTGCAAATGGTGAGAGAGTGCATTGTGTGTGATAACAGTTGAGGCTAAAATGTTTTTGTCAATGCTGCTCATGGAGAAAGCTATGTTATATTTATACGTAAGCATGGGATAGTTTTTCTTAAAGTATGTTTACATAGCTTTGTCTATATTAGTTATGTTTTATGTTGATGAGCAGTATTATTACCTGTGTAGTAACATAAGTCTAAAATGTATAATTTATTGATATGTTAAATAATTTATTCGTAACAGCAGTTAAGGTCTAGGACAATATTATGTGGACAATACATGTCCTGATTGTAGACTTACAACTGGTCATCATATAATTTTTCATCAAATGCTTGTACTGTATAATAATAGTGTGTTCCTTTGTCAAGCCACCGCTGGATAAATGCTTCCCCATGTTGTGGTAGTCATGTGTGTAGGACAGCGCTGTCCTACACACATGATAAATGCTTCCCCATGTTGTGGTAGTCACGTGGGTTTTTGGATAGACTTTACCATGCTGGTCAAAGCAAGTTCGCGAAGTAAATCGTCAGGACCAGTTTCATATATTTCTTGCCACTGATTCTTTCCCATGACCATGAATGCAACTGAGGTTTCTAGTTTACTTTTTATAGTTCTGTGCCCAGCACTTCCACTTTCCTTTTAAAAAGATACATGATTCAAATTATTTTTGCATACTATTTTAGAAAAAGGTTTTCTGCCTGGATTCCTGGCACGCGGCCAAGTGTTCGTACATAACATCACCACACATGCGTACATGCGTGATGATGTCACCCGCATCCTACAGCGTTTGGCGGGGTTCGTACGTGCCGACTTCACAAGTCTCCCCAATCCATTCTCACCTCGACCCTGGTCGTGTATCGTCGGGCTGCTCGTTTTAGATATTCTAATATTTAATGGTTTTTCCAAATACAATTGTAAGAGTGCATAATTTGTGTACAGTATTTGATTGCAAAAGATACCTATTGCCTTTTAAAATATACAATGTTTCGTTTTATATGTCGTTCGTACAAATTGCATCTCACATGCACTGAGAAACCACAGACAAGCTTCAATGCAGCAGTCAGAAAAAACAATTGCCCAAGCTCTGCAGTCCTCAATATATTATTAAGTTGTGTTTAGCCAATTGGTGATTATGCATAAGAAAGGAAACCTAAACACCCGGAAAAAAAACCCACGTGTGTGAGGGGTAAAACAATGTTATTCCCTACAGAAGGGACATGATTTAATATTCGGCTGCATTCTGCTGTATTGCTTTCTGGTAAGCCAGGGTATGGGCACCTCACTGGCCATGAAGGGAGTTTCACAATATTTGTGTGATCCACCAACCGAACATTTTGATAGCTGCTAATTGATCATGTTGAAGAAACGTGAGTGCAATTGAAACTTTCAATACCTAGTGAATGTTAAGATTTAACAACACACTGCGCAAAGTTCACGGTTCAAGTCCATTTAGTTTAACCAGGTGAGAGCTCGTGAGATGAGATTAGTCTCTTTTACAAGATATAATTGCATTACAGATAGCTAAATACTGCACACACATGAATAATTACTGCATAAATAATTGTGCTGTAAATAAAAATGACTGACAAATTGCTTAACGGTTCATAATATGACTATTGCAAATGAAAGTCAAATGCTGCTACTTATATTGAACTGCAGTGTTGTGTAAAGGTAGAATATTATTGTGTTATTTCATTTTATCAATTTATTATTTTATTCTCATTCTACGTGACTTTACCGAAAGAACCAAATAAGAGAAAAACAAAGAAGGTAGACTATATTGATGTGCTGCTTCACACGTACATATAATAAACAGGAGTGGAAACAGATACAACTTTTGGTAGGAAACTGTATTTTGTACAGATCTATATATTCTGCATAGTGTTATTTGACTGTTGTGATGTATTTAGATCAGGAGATGCCTGTTTGCGTATGACGGTTATAACCATGGTTATGGATCTCACATTCCTGCGTTATCATGTTCCCTCTATGGTGGCAATATAGGCGGGCAGAAGGTGTCTGTGTGTAATTATGTATTGTAATTAGCCTTGTTAACGCAGGATAGCCTCACTAGTGACTTTTTGAGGAAGGGGCTTCCAAGTTTTCTTAGTAGGAGGTGATGATTGCCTTGTATATATTCCAATTCAGTAAATGTGTTTATTTGAACCATGATACTGGCATGCAATGGCCCTACTCTCACAATGGCTTACCACTGCAAAGCACATGGTGTGCACGGCCGCTGGATTCCAACCGAGCCCCTGCAACAAGCAGCGAACGCGCGACCATAAGGCCACGTTGCCACTGCCAATCAGCAATGATGATGATTGTGTGCGTGCGTTACTTCTCATTTGAAAAGTATTGCAATGTGCCCATCGTGGTGAATGTATTCTTTCCACAAACGTATCTATTCTGTAGTTTGTGGTGTGATCTTACATGATTAATTTAGTTGTATTGATTGTATGTACGTTGAACTTATCACACCATACGTAACCAACCATGCTAATCGGACGTGCGGGGAAAGGACAACAAACTATATAGACTATTAAATGTATTCCTTTTTGGAATGTTTAAAACATCAAGTGTTTATAGTGCACCTACCCCATAACATTCAAAGGTACAGTAATGTTACTTTTCAAGTAAAAATGTTTTTCTAGTTACTACTTGATCCATTTGCACATCAAAAATAAGGCCTATGCATATATCTACTTTGTGATTGACTTCCACCTGAATACTAGGTTTTTGTCCCAATAGGCCTTGAAATGTGTCCCATATGAAAATGAGCAATTTTAAGTTGTCAAATTGTCTGACTTATTAAAGTTAGCCTTAAGGGAGTGCTTATTTGTGGAAGTAAGGGATATTGATTGTTTCTGTTGATCTTTATGTAAGCCTTGGAATTATTAGTCTATGCTTGTGTAAATATGTCTGAATGAAAGGGGATGGACCGAGCTACAGTATTGTCATGGATCGTGAGATATTTGAACATACAGTGGTGATCATTAATGAATAATTGCAGGTTTATATAACTACAACAGTTTTTTTGTGGTGACAGTTAATTTCTCTAAGTTAAAATATGTAAATTGGAATAAGAATAATTGTTACATCAATGTTATATGATTTTGTGCAGTGGTTTCAGATGTTTAAAACAGAGGTGCAGCACAAATAACAACAACCTCTTGAGTTAAATCATGAATTCAGGCTGAAGTGAGATGCTCTTTCATGTACATAAAGGATGTAGCCTGAGGACACGTATTGTTGGGGGGCTTTCCCAGTGTACAAATGCCATTTTGCCAAAGCCAAAATGTCAACAACAAATAAATCATATTTACAAACAACTTGCCAAAGGTAGCTTTCAGTCGTTGCCCGAGATCTCAAGTGATGGCCTCAGATGTCACGAGAGGCTGCACCTGAGAACAACAGTCTTTGAGAATGGCAACTGTAGATGATCCCAGGCGATGCACTGTCTTTTACATTAATTCTATCGCCTTCAGATTTTGTTAGGTGTTTTAAAAATATTAATGGACACGTAAATATAGCTTTCCATAGAATGTTATTTTAAGTAATACAACATTTTCTTTTAAATGTTTTACTGTGTGTGTGCGCATGCGTGCATGTCGGCGTGTTGTACGGAATGTGTGTAGGAACCATTTCCTAAAATATTCATGGACAGGCATGGGTTTTAGCCCAATCCTTTGCTTTAGTCATTAAGCATTCTAGACCATTGGACATTGGATGAAAATCGTGAATGCTATTAAGTCCAGATATATATGCTTATCATTTGACCAATTTTTCCATCGTACAGTAATTTCTCAATATGTTTTAGTTTGTTTCACTTTTGTCAAAAATAAGGCAAAAAGTTTCAATGTCTAAATCCTGCAGTTCTGAATATCTCTCTTCTTTTGAAAAGTAAGAATCGCATAATAGCCTTGACCATTAAAATATGAGAAAATACTCAATATAAGGATTTTTTTCATTTTAAGAAATATATATACACATTTTGTTCCTTTGTTAAATGGGAAATACCTGAATCACATTCCTTTATACAGCACGTGTTTACTACTCTTGCAAAGTGTCTAGTTTTTGCACATTTATATTTTCCAATTAATGTTTCTTCAGGCATTAAAATATATATTGCCAGGTCAAATTTTGATTTAAAGCTTTCGTGACTGCAGGGGATTCATATTCTTGGTTCTTTCGGTAAAGTCACGTAGAAGGGAAACAATAAAATAATAAAACAATAAAATTCTCACGACGTTTCGACTGCAACACAAGCAATCATCATCAGGTGTGAAAACCACAGTGCCAAATCGCTCTCCGTGGTGCTAACGTTAAAAAAAACGCCACTTTTTTCAAATTTTCTTGCTGTGGTTTTCACACCTGATGATGATCGCTTGCGTTGCAGTCAAAACGTCGTGATAATTTTATTGTTTTATGTTTTTATTATTGTTTCCCTTCTACGTGACTTTTACCGAAAGAACCAAGAATATATTGCCAGGTCGTTCGTTATTATATATCCTGAATGGAAACAACCTTGGACTTGGACAAAGATGTGGCTTTCAGTTGCGCAGATGATTTGCTTTTTCATTAGCCTTTTTAATGAGTGCTGCCTCTTGCCACACAATCATTTCACTACATTTGTGGCTTCATTTGAATCTCAATGCTGAGCAAAACTAAATCAACTGAACACGTCTGCTGTTCAGTTGATTTAGGGACCATAAAAAAACAGACCCTCAGTAATGTTTCACTTTGAATGAGCTGGTGTTATTACTTATTTATTGCTCTGGCTCCGGGCTTAAAACAGTCATTGTTACAGAGCACTTGGATTAATTCTGATACTTGATCATCGAACAACAAAGCCCCTTACAGCATGTTTATTTTGCTGAAAAATGTCATCACCAATGTACATGCAATATACATATATGACTGTTTAAAACAGCAGCACTGGAGACACACTTAGAAGGTTTCTGATCAGGGGTTCATTCAGCCCATCATCCCTAATTAGGATGATAAGATCAGTACCAACTTTTGGGGAAGTCGGCAGTGGTTATATTGGAAGAGACTAGCCCTTGCTTTGGGAACATAGAACTTTCACTGCCATCTAAGGGTCTGCGCAAGAGAGGAGTGTTGCCCAATTTTAGCTTGAACAAAGAGATGCTTTAACTTTACTTTGGAGTGCTATACACCGTACAGTACAATAATTAATTAATAATATCAGCCGTTTGTTAATGCACTGCTAGATGGATGCCGTGTCAGTCTTGGGGGTTGTTTGACCATACTTCTCCACGCTAGACGGTGCACAGACCGGTTCAGATATATCGTTTGCCATTGATGTCACTTGTGGAAGTGTATCACTGAGATCGCCAGAAACATAGTGAGGTCATCTAACCATTACAACACCACTCCAGTATGTATACACTTTATACTGGGTTCTTTTTTTATCTGACAATTCTATTATTGCCCAAATAGAGGACTGTATATGCTTATTATGTGCTGTTTGCTCTGAAAAGTTATGAATGTTGATGGATGAATGGTTGAAGCTGTAATCATGTTTTCGCACTCGGATTTTGTATTAAATATTGCGTGGTATTAAAGCAACTGTTTTTGCAGGTTCTCATATTATTCAAGCTTCTGCTACTGGAAAAGAAGGTAATCTTACAATACATCATGGTTCTTTGGGATTGAGAAATGTACTTTAAATGCTTAGTAATTACTGCTTCACAATTGAGACACTAAGCTTAGTTAGATGATGTCAGTGATATTTTTTTATAATTGTCAAGCATGTTTTTGTTGCAGTATTACTCGTTACTAATGTGTAAAGCTATTGCATATTTTATTATGCAGGTATGCAAGTAGTACAATGATTATATTTTTTGGTATGACTGCGACTTATCCAATCTTTTCGTGTTGTTTTCATAACAATGATTGCATCCTTATGGCCTAAACATTCGTATGTTCTTTTCCACAGGTCATGTTTGTAGGCTCCCCAGTTCACAAGCTAGTTTCTCCAATGATTGCTCTGCTATCTCTCTTTCCAGGTGACGTATACGCCAGAAACCCAAATATTTATGAAAAAAACTCGGCTGGGTTTTTTTGTTGTTTGAGAAAATAATTTTGGCTTTGTTATTACTAAAGCTGGCACAGTTTGTTGATTTATCTCCAGTGTGATTATTAAAATGTATTTAAAAATGTCCAGTGGACCAACTCCTATTTAAATTGAGTGCAACACATAAATAACCTCTGCTAATCTATTGTGTACGATCCTGCCTGTGGTTCACGTGCTAAGTAAAATGTTGGTGTTTGTTTCCCTCTAAGGCATGATAGAGTATGGCCTACTGGAATCGTCATGGTACAAGCCACACAGCAGTGTGTCCTCGGAACGCGACGTAACAGACGTCAGCACGGATGAATTTGTGTCTGTGTCCGCATCGGACATCCCCGAGCCTGGCGAGTCTCGTTCCCAGTCGGAGGACACCAACGGGCAGCTGGACGAGAACAGCCCAACTCCGGATAGTGACACAAGCCTCGGCCGAACGCCCACGGCAGTCGTGCTGCTCAGGCCAGAGGAAGAGTCGGCACAGCGCTCCCAGGACCGCCTCAGCCCGTACCGCTCGCGCAAGACCCGCCCGTCGCCGGCTTCCTCCGAGAGCGACTGGGAGACTCTCGACCCTGGACTGGAAGGCGAAGACCTGGGACCGCTTGCCACAAAGGCACAGGAGCAGGACTATCCTGTGGAGCAAGGCGTGGGATCTCTCATCTTGTCACCGGCACAGGATGAGGAGAGCGCAGCGAGGGCGACGTCGGTTCTCCCCGTAGCGCCGTTAGGCCCGGTTCACGCGCAAGTTGGCAAGCAGGATGATCAAGCAGCCAAGCGTGACGTTCACGTGCCGGGAATTGTGTCTGGGTTGGAGGAGGACCTACATGGTATGCCGTTGCCCATCTTCACCAAGGTAACTCCATACAGAAACAATTTAACGGAGTGTTAAAATGTAGGCTTTCTAAATGTTATTGTACATATACTCGCAAGACCTTATTTTAATGGCTCGAGAGTATTCACTGTACATGCCGTGAGTCAGTAGGTCGTTCAGATTAAGGTTAAGCATGAAAACATCATGGAACTGCATCATGTTTGATCAAAGTTTAAGTGTATTTTAATACGTTGAGCTGAAATTAATGATCATTATGGATCTGCTGTTTTATCATGCATTAAATAATTTCATGTTTCTAAAATGAGATCCAGATTTAGTGCCTTTTATTTTAAAAGGTGGAATTTACCAAGTACTTTTTTAATGGCCGCTTTTATTTTTATGTATTTGTAAACAAGAATTGTGCTTCGTGTATTATATCATATTTAATAGTCTAGCAAGCAAATAGCATAAAACAGTGATTGAAATATAGAGGATTAATGTATAAAACCAGATGATTGAAATATAGATAGCAACCATCACTCCCTACTGCGAAGACCCTGCTGAAGACTTGAGATGAAGTGAGGCTTCCCTGGGTAAACAAGCGTCATGATAAACAATCGTTTAAAGTTAATCTTAAAGTGTCAAATGGAGTGCTAAGTACATGTCGTTACTCGTGCTGTGGTGCTCCAGGGCTATCTGCTGCTGCCCTACATGGCTCTCCAGCAGCATCACCTCCTCTCGGACGTGTCGGTCCGTGGGTTCCTCGCAGGTGCCACCAACGTCTTGTTCCGCCAGCAGAAACACCTCTCGGATGTCATCGTCGATGTACGCGATTCTCGAAACGCAGCACCACTCCCGCGCACGTGCACAGCATTTCTCTATTTTGCTCATAATTTTCAACAATCGTTTAATAATGTGTATCTTCTATTTGCCACTCTACTTGTGACTTTTCAGGCTAATATTGACTAAACAGTACTGTTTCCTTTTTTTATGGCATTTGCCAAGCAGAGACCATAACACTTATAATGTGGAAGTGTAAGAGTGAAGAATGTTGGTGGGTGATGAAAAGTATCTTGAACAGAGTAGGTTTACATGGTGTTTGAAGAACAGATTGTATTCCTTAAAATGTTTGAGCACATCCTGAGCTCTTGCAGATTCAGGGGTTTAGCGGAATACCACTATCCCGAACAAGCACATGATTGTCAATCCCACTAAAGAACCTCCGGCATCTAATCTCTACCTCAAAAAGAAAGTTTCACGTAAGGGTGAATCCACACATCTGACGGGCACATCCTGCCACTGCTTTTGCGGGTGGAAATTGAATGGAATCCCACTTCATGCGCCTGTAGAAACACCGACCAGACCATTGGCCACATTGTGTACACAACCCACTAAAGCCATTCCATGGTTAAGTAATCTGGACAGAAACTTAGAAGTTTATATCCATCCATACGTAATAAACATTCATCCAAAAGTGAGATTTGCGAGATATCAAATTTAAAAAGTGTTCTCTTATTGTGAGGCACTTTTTACAGAGCATACATAGTTATAGCTGTACATAGCATGATTGTGTTGCAATAGCAGTTACACAAGTGTGTGTGTTCTCACTAATTACAGGTGGAAGAGTGTCGGCTGGAAATACAGGACCCAGAGCTGCGGCGCATGCTGGCACTTGGCACGGCTGATCTTCGCTTTGCAGACTGGCTGGTAAAGCATGTAGCGGATAATCGACAAGACGTCTTCCTTGACGGCACGGGTTGGGAGGGTGGCGATGAGTGGGTGCGGAGCCAGTTCTCCTTCTACTTGCTGTCGCTCCTGGCGACCACATTGCAGCCAGGTAACAACAGAGGCTACCCTGGATGCCACACTACGTTGGGAAATGCTTGAAGGCAGAATTTGCGAAGTAGTTGTACATGCCAAAATGTAATGGACACTTGTAAGCTCTTAATTATATGCGGATAATACACAGCCTGATGTCACCTATGCTATTTAAGTGTTGGTAATTTAGTTATATTAATCCATATATTAATATAACTGCATGTGCTTTGGTATGGGCGTTAGGAAATTTACATTTATTGAAATGTAGTTTTGGAATAATTATGCAGTGGCAGTTTTCGTAATTTAAAATATTTCACGAGTTAAATATATATTTTTAAACATCTTAAAGTTTCAATTGTATTTAAAATAGATACATATGAAAATTACACATGCATTGTAGGTACACATTTAATTTATTTTAATGATTCCCCAAAATCAATTCATAAAACCAGTGAATGAACTATTAATTCAAAACGTCTTCCAAATAAATATCTTGTAAAGGTGATTATAACCTGGCCAATTACATGCCTTTTTTTGAAGAAATAAACCAATAAATCGCATATTTTGACTGGTTTAAGTAAAAAATTTAGCCCGAACATATAACATGAAGAAAGCTACAAAGTAATATTGACAGTTATATATATGTTGGCCTTCATAATGCAAATTGATTGTCTTTACTGCTTTGGCTGAAATTCCATTTTCTAAAACAGAGTGGTGCTCTAGTGCCCACATGTCAAAATAATACACATGTGATCCCACAATACAGTAGACGCACGTTTCATCAACATTCAAGGTCCAAAATATGTACAGAGTTCTCAGTATGAACGTTTTGTTCCACAGACAATGAGAAGCTTTTGGCTGATTTTGGTATGGGCTTTGTGACTGCTTGGCAAGATACACACAATTATCGTGTGTGGAACAGCAACACGCACCCTGGAATGGATGATGTCCAAGCAGGGTAAGCCCTTTAATTAAACCATTGAATCCCTATTCCGAGATTCAGGTTTCTAAAGCTGCTAAGAGAGATAATATGCAATATTAAAGATGCCAATGAAATGTGTAACGTAATAAATTAAGCTTAATCTCTTTTTAACACTGGACGAGTGTGTATTATACTTCAGTATCATAAGTAGACCATCTTACGTAAAGATTGTTTAATTTGCAAAATGCTTTTATGAATCAATTTCCCACCGATTCATTGTTTATAAACCATATATATAAGACATAATGGCCCCAGACATTGTGACACTTGGCAAATTCTCGAATAACATTTGCTTTGTACGATAGAAAAAAATTGACATAACTTGATAATGTTTAGTGGCTATAAAAATGCACTTTAGAATGTTTGCGTTGTCTACATTCGATGGCAAATTGGTCTAATGTATAGCTCTCTATACCACCAACCAGGCATAAATGTCACTAAATCCACAATCAATATTCTCACCATGCATTCAATTTCAGGCAACAGAATTTGAGGTGCATCTCATTCATGGTAGTCCTTGTCACAAGTAACCCCCTTGCATTGTAATAACCCTCAAATGCTCGTGGAGATTCCTCAATGTGCTATTAAACTAAAAAGTTAGTTTTTTGTGCATCCTAATGTATTGTGTTTTCCTCCCATTTCTGCAGACATGCTTTTCATGGGCAGTATAGTGTGGCTGACGTCAAGTTGCGTCTAGCTCAGTGAGTGCATTCTCACCAACAATAAATGAAGTGCATGATGTCTAGCCATAATGGCGTGTCGTATTTAACCCATTCACCTATAACGATATTTCTCTTCCTACTGCATGTGCTAACATTCTGGTGCATTGATTGTGAAACTTGCATTGCTAACTTGCTAACTTTATTCGTGCTTTCAGGATGTCAGTGAGAATGTGTATTTTGAATACAGCTGAAAACATGACACTAAACATTTCAGTTTTGAGCTTTTTTTGTCACTTAAAAGTGTCATTGTTATTAACCTTGGAATGCCTGTCAATGCTTTAAATGTATATATGTAGTATAATAATGACTAATCGGAATGTTATACTAAAAAAGTAATTGCATTTGAATGTAATGTTTATGGCCAGTGATTGCACCAGCTAAGCATTAAATTGCATGCATTTCCAGCTCTGTGTCAAACAGTGAGCGAGGCAAGAAGATTGGGAATGCTGTGATAACTACAAGTCGCTCCGTAGTGCAAACCAGCAAAGCTGTTGGTAAATCATACGTTTTATATTCATTGGCAAGTCTGAGAGATATGAAATGCATATCCCATGTTTTCTTTATTTTCAAATAGGTATACGGTAAACCCTGGCTAGCCAGACCTCGGCTTGCCGGATTTTGCACTTAGCCGGACCTGGTTGACTAAGTAGAAGAAGAAAAAAAAACATCTAAAATATATGTTAACTGCAATAAGAGTATAACACATTACAATACTTTACGTATTTAATACTTTGGAATATGCTCTGTAATATAGAATGCATAATGACATTCACTCGGAACACGTTATCGTGTGTATAATATTTAAAACACAGTTCAATGTGTTACTTTACTTGTGGCGATATATTAAGTCCTGTAGCGTGAGGCTGGAGGGAAGGGCTGATAAGGGAGGGGGATGGGGTGAGAGGGGTGTGGAGAGTGGGTGGGAAGAGTGGGTGAGATGTGGGGGGTGAGGGGAGTGGGGGTGAGAGAGCCGCCACCCTCGGAATGACAGATAACCACAGTTCTGTACAACACACCGCAGAGATTGTTTATCTGTACTGTACTCACTGCACACACTGTATAGTACACGTGTAAAGGAAAAACACATACACGTGTATTGTTCTTGTTATATGGACAGTATAATTGAAATTTTGGCTAGCTAGACTTGTCAGCTCGCCGGAACAGAGCTGCACCCTGTTAGACCGGCTAGCTGGGGTGTTCCTGTACTTTGTTCGTTAATTGACATGGAAGGTGGAGAGGGTGGGGAAGGTGGAGAGGGTGGGGAGGGTGGGGAGGGGCTGGTCACCCCGTGGTGCCCTTATAAAACTCAACGTTTAACCTACTCACGCCGGCTTGTGCCCGCCCTCACAGTCGGGCATATTGTGCGGAATACACCACGTGGTGCCGCCGTTGACCCTGGCCATTGACCGAGCAACCCAACGTTCCTACCAGCTCCCTCCACAGGAATGTGTTTCTCAGTGTACTTGGTCATGTAGGTGTAAACAAAACAATGATACGCCACTCTATATCACCATACAACAGTTGTAAAAGGAGATGTACAAATAATATTACTTTAATTGCTGTAGTAGAACCCTGCAATAAGTGTCATCCGTGGTCAGTGTGTTAAACTGAAAGCTGGTGTCTTGTTCCCTTGCAGGCCATTCCGTGGGGGGAGCCCTCACCAACGCCAAGAGTGCAATGTCGTCTTGGTTTACCAACCTAACCACACAGCCAGCTGAAAAGCAGCCCGACAAGGACTGAGGGCAAACCTGTGACCCGATTGGAGGCATCACTTTCTGAATGTGGGCCATAATGAGCAGTCCTATCCACTCCACTGCCTGCAGTATCAGCCTGTGTGATTAACTCTTGCCTTGCTGTTGCTTCTCGATTTGCAATATTCTTTTTGTTTTCAAATTGTAATTGTGTTGCGAGGCATAATCTGCCCAGTGGCTTTTTAAAATTGTATCTCAGCATTTGCAACTATGTCCAGAGTCTCTGGTGTATTACCTGAGATAGCCTTTGCAAAAACATGAGTAGCTTTGTGTTGTACGACTCTTTGGTTCCCCCTCCCCCCACACAAGTATGGCTTCATGTTGACTGATGCTTATTTACATGTTACATTTTCTTTTCTTCCTGTTAAAACCTGACAGTGCATCTGAGTTATTAATCATTGTGATGCTCCATTTCTGGATGATTGAATAACTATACTGCGATTGACACCATTACATTTGTACACCCATTGTATAATCGTAACTGTTTAAATGCAGCTCCCAAAAATAATGGAGTGCTTTCACATTATGTGAGCATCATGTGATAATTTCTAATGAATGTGCAATCAGTAGCTCTTGCAAAGCCTCGTATAGCAGTTTATACATGCAACCTTTGTTTACAGCTCCCTGTCACTTGGAGACGTGTGTTTTACTGTATAGCCATGCAAGTTCATGGGGGGATATGCATAGCACTTCTCAAGAAATATTGATCCTGTCAAGTACATGTTGATGTTGAGTCTTCTAGATTAGCTATCCATAATATTCAAGCCGAAGCACGTTCGTTTACGATAGTGCTACAGTAATGGCTCTAGCAGATAAATCCACTTGGCAGTACAACATTAATCAACCACAATGATTAACAATTCAGATAATAGTGAGGACTGCTGTGCTTGAGTAACCAGTATTTATACAAATAATAATTGGATTAATCATGGGCATTATCTTGAAAGGTACACTTCTCTAGCTCCTAACACAGATATTTGGGTGAAAAGTAACATTCCAAGAGAAATTTCCTATAAATTGGTCATTTTATACATACATGTGTATGAGTTAAATATCTGACTTGAAGCTATTTGTGGTTCCAGAAAGTTTGTTCATACTGCATAGTGGAAATGAGGCATTCCACTCAACTCTTGGTATACACTATGCTACTTCATACAATGTACGAATATAACATTCTCTACTTATTCCTTTTGAAAGCAGCTGAGAGGATAATTCATAGATGTGTGCAATATTGAGCGATTGGTGTGACATTCACATCTCAAAATAGTAATGGATCAGTCAAAACAGAATGGGACCCATGATGTGGCAAGGCATTTTACAGGTTGCTTTTGTTAGTAATTGTTTTACTGTAGACCTCAGATATCTATCATCTGTATGGTATAATACAGTTTTGATGACTCAAGATTTGTGTAGTTTTGGGAGCTATTTTAAGTGTTTAAGTGTGTGTATGGGTAAACGGGTAAAGTGTAGGATAATTTTATGAAATATTTATAGTCCTTTTGGGTTTTGTATGCAAGATACGAGTTACATTGCATTTGAGCTCTCCGATGACTTTTTTTGGGTTGTATTGTGTCTTGTTCGTCATGTCCATAGTTTCGCTCCACGTGCTGTGAGCCTCTCCAGCACATGGTGTGAAACAGACATCATTCCGAACAGCACGTAGTAGTTCATCCTGAACACCCACGGAGAGCCATACAGCATAACTGCAAAAACCTACAAGGCAGTTCATTGCTTTTAACATTTGCAGTAATCTTGGATTCATACATGAAGGTGTACTTTCTACATTGACACGGCCAATGTGATGCAGATATTACTTTTGTCAACTTGACCAGTCCATACTTTAATCCTTAGGCCTCAGCCACTATTGTAGTATTGAATTTATGTTGTATGTGTTTATAACTACATCGGTCATCAATTAAATTTATAGTCATCTGTATTTCAGAGAAATAAGTATACAGTATTCTCTTCAAATGAACCATATATTGAGCAGCTCATCGTTCCCATGGACCAAAGGATTGACTGCCCCTTGCTGTATTGGACATCACTTGGGTTTTACACACTTTCAGTTGGCACTAGTAATCTAACAAATGGTAGTAGTAATATGTATAGCTCACAATTGTGGCTTGTATAGTAATAGCATAAACAAAACGGTGTATTATAAGCTAGTGATGTTACTGCCTCTCATAGGTTAGAGCCCAGTTGTGATTTTGCACATGGTCCAGATTGAGGTGCAGAATCAATGTTAAATGTTGTACTAATGCCATCCTTCAACTAGACCAAACGTGCATCTCCCATATCATGGTGTATTTTGTGCATTTTTAAATGAGCCTCAAGTTAATCAAATTGAACACGTATCCCACTGATTATAAAATATTGCATCGTGTGTGGTAAGTTTCAAAATATGCATTTCCGTTTAATCTTGCAAAACAGTTGATATTCGATGAAAAATATATGTACTAGTGATGTGTTCTGTGTTGTCCTAACAGTACAGGTATTGCCCGTTTTAACCTATTGCCGTCAATTTTTAACGAATATAATTTGGTTAAATAATGTTTTAGGTGCCGTTTAATAAACTCGTAAACTTTTCCACAATATATACTCTTACAAAAATTGTTATCTTTGGCATCATGAAACCTGCATTCAAACTTTAACTTGTCATGAATTGTGCCTGCTGCACGTATGAACTTATACAGGATAATGCAGTTATTTGAATGTTTACCTGACTTAATGTTGCAGAATACATTCCTATGAACACCAATATATGGTAATATGCTATTATTTGTTAAGTCTTGCCAACAGCCTGCATAAGATGTATTTGTAAATCATATGGTAAGTACTATGCCCATCTCTTTGACTTGTATATAAAAATCCTTCAACAATTACAAATATTGTACTTGATTTTTCGTTGTGGTGGGGCTGTTATTGCTAAATCATACTAATGCAATTGGTAATATCTAACAATGTTATGAATGTTTATACCTTGACTTGGCTTTACACGTAATACGGTACTCTTCATTCCCCATGCACCACCAGACATTTGGTACAGTACCACAACAATTCAGTGGTGCTGCCAGCGTCATCCCAATATTCTAGGCGATGTCATGATTATTTCAAGTGCTCTATCTCGTTTGTAAGACAACTGCAGTTGGTGTTTGTAAAATGTAAAAAAATACCCCGTGTGTCATTGCTACTTGTTACTGTCAACTATATTTCAATGAGCGTTACCTCTATGGTGATTGCTGAGTGGTGACATTGTAAATACTGTACATGTAATGATATTGTATATCTGTGAGGATGTTAAGGAATGATTCCCAATGTGTGTTGCGCAGTGATTTCTGAAGAAGTACATTGCCAAGCTTGTTGAATACCAATAACTTCTAGTGGAGTAATGAGGCTCAATTCAGTGCTGTTAATGTCAGCTTGTCCAGGATACAGCGCTAAATGGTCAAAACTAATATCGGAATGGCACTTAAAGGAATGCACCATTCTGGAGATGGATTGATTCAATCAGCTCGTGTGCAGGTGGTAGATGACTTGCTACATTGCCAGACCATATGGCTGGATTGAGGATGGCCTCACCCAGCAGTGGATTAATATAGCTGATTACATTGATAAGATTGTGTTATGCTGTAGCCACATTTAGTGTATATTGAAATGTTTCTGCATAAAAGCCTGGATTTGGAAGGCAATTGAATTGCTGAGAATGCAGATTTTCAAACATTAAAGATATTAAAGTATCACAGTCTTTGTTTAAAAATATATGTTTAAGGTATTGAAATGTAATGTTCTAGTTTTGGAAAGACTGGAATCCCTATCACTTTTGATTTAAAAGGTAAAAATATATACTTCAATATTATTTTGGCAAAAAAAATAAGATTGTAAAATTTAAAAAAATGTCGAGGAAAACTGACAAGACTACGATAAAATCATCACCTATTTTAGTAAACGTTAAATAAACAATGGCAAAGTCAAATTATAAAATAAGTACTGTGTTGCATTGAGACGTATGAAGTAGTATTTAAAATTTATCACGTATAATGCATAATGAAAACTAAGACATTTAAAGTAAAATCGAATAAGTTCCCCCGTTAAATGTCTGCTATCCTTGGAAGTAAATGTCACGATTAAATATGAATGAAATATGAATGCAGTGCATTTCAATTGTTACCTAGAAAAGAGTATGGAAAAATACATTGAGAATGGATCCAAATATAACCATTTGGTTCGGACAAGTACAGCGACACCCAGATGTAGATGGCTTGACCCAGTTTAAAATAAAGGATATGTTATGAAGATGCAGTTGTGGAGTAAACATGCTGTGCAATACGTTGCAATCCTGGTTGCATAAATAGAACAAAGAGTGATATAGAAAATGAATATTTAGGTCGTTATGTTTGGTGTCACATTTTGCACACTTTTTACATCATTAAAACTACTGCTGGAACCCCTAATGAAGATAATTCGACTTTTAGATGCATGCATATTTCATGTTTATTTGAAGAAAAAAACATAATAAACAACCACAAACCTAAGTTAACTGCAGTATTTCAATTAGCATCAGAGCCTTATATTCTAGAGGAGCCCCATAAACTGATTTGTTTACACAGGGATTTCGTTGATTTAAACAATACTGAATTGGCTCTGAATAAATTGGCTCTTTGAAAAATGTCATTTAAAGATGTGCAGACCTGCTACACATTTCTGGGTTGCGATTATAATTCTGAAACACCAACTTATTCCCCCTGTGACGTGACATTGAGGGCTTGCCCTGATATTTTTCAAATTAAAGACCTTCAAAGCCAATGCGGACCAAAAAAAAGTGTCATTGCCACTTCAAAAGAGTCATTCGGGGAGCCTAGCTCTCACCCCTTTGCCCTTGCTGGCAAGGGTTGTACTCGCTGAGTTGCTGCATGAAGCCGGAATTGGGATGAGCTGCGGGACGTGCCCTCTTGACAAGGGAGAATGCATCCTGGAAGGAGAGTCCATCCTCTTGGATGAGATAGCCAATGATGACACTGGCAGCACGGGACACTCCTGCATTGCAGTGCACCAACACCACGCCACCCTGTGGCAATAACATGTCACATCAGCAGGCTGCAGCGGCGTGCTTAACATGCCTCAATATTTTTCATGCTATGCTCCCCTTTTTTTGTGAACAGCTGTACCGGTCGGTGAGTACTTAAAACGTATAACTGCCTACTGAGACGTGCATGAAACTGCGTGTTAAACCCAACTATGGAGTGTGAACAGCAAATTAATCCAATGGATATTGATTACAATATACACATCAGACATCACTATTACCAATTCCTTCTAGTAATTTATAATCATGTTACATTCATAAGCAGACATTCATAAGCAGACATTCAAATAAATTGCCAAACATTCGTAGTCAACTCGTCACGTAAGTCGGGCCTGGGTATGGTTCCGGATGACTGGTAAAGCACCCTTATTTGTTGGGCAAATCCCTGCTACTCCAGATTTTTAATTGACTAGAAGCTAGATAAAGGCAACACATCCTTTCACTGTTGGTGTGGGGGAAGATAAAGTACAACTTCTGATACAGACTACTTAAGATATATAACCGCACCTGGCTTTGCTCCAAAGGTATGTGATTATATTTCGCTTCAACTTCCTGAATACATCTGAAATAAGTGTGCTGTGGTTAATTGAGTAATTTTCCGCACCTGTTTGTGAGCCCTTGAAATGAAGTCGAAGCACTCTGGAAAGTAGTTGGTGAGCTTCGTGTCTGGAACATCCAGCATCGTCACTATCTTGTAGATGTAGCTATCGGGAAATGCATTGTCCACTCCGTACGCCACGTTCAGAATATGTGAAACCTTCAGTACACATTAAGAGTTAATATAGACCATACTTTTATGATGACATACTGTATAAATACTGTGAATGTGAGATATGAACTCTCCAAAGGCCAAGCACAACACAGAATTTCTGAAACTTTTTTTTTATTATAGGTTATCGAGTGTAACGTGGCAATCCAGTTATATTTATGCCATTTAACCTATATGTGACATGCAGATGTCCGTTGTTCAAGCCCCAAGGCCAACCTGGTTAAGTCGGTGGGTGATGTTATTAGAAAAAAGTAGTCCCAAGTGCTCTGCAGGCATGGTTCAAAACTCAAATAGTTTGAATGGATTTCCCAAATTACTCGATTGGAAAATGCAAAACTAGTGCAGACTGTGTTTTTGAAACAGTGCATCCGCAATTGCCTTGTGCTGTAAGAATGGTGTACATACCAAATTTCCTTTTGATTTGATTACTTGGTCATGGATAAATTACATCATGGGACCTCCTTTGCCAGTACCAAAATATGAGAATAGGTTTTCCCCTTTTTTCTGTCAACAAAACAGGTGTTAAGATGTTAAAACACCAAACTGAAACCTTTTACAAGGAATCATGTCTGCATTAACCACAATACTTGTGGTCAGAATGCAAACAAAAAACATACTAATATATGCATTGTCTCTGAAACTGATTTGTCCACACCAGAGACAGCTTTCTTTTGAGCCTAGTCTCAAAACTGTGTTTGACCAGAGGACGCCAAAAGGCATACAGCACAAAGACAATTCACTATCAGAGTAATGAGAGCTCTGGGTGAGCAACTACATAATTTTGCCAGAAAAAAGGGGAAAACCTATTCTCATATTTTGGTACTGGCAAAGGAGGTCCCATGATGTAGACGCTCACCCCGAGCTCGCATTACTGTGATAGTGAATTGTCTTTGTGCTGTACGCCTTTTGGCGTCATCTGCTCAAACACAGTTTTGAGACTAGGCTCAAATGAAAGCTGTCTCTGGTGTGGACCAATCAGTTTCAAGGACAATGCATATATTATCAGTGTTTTTTGTTTGCATTCTGACCACAAGGATTGTGGTTAATGCAGACATTATTCCTTGTAAAAGGTTTCAGTTTGGTGTTTTAACATCTCAACATCTGTTTTGTTGTCAGAAAAAAGGGGAAAACCTATTCTCATGGATACATTATTAAGCTTATGCAACAAACCTTATGTTGCTGTAGTGTCCGGATGTCCTGAGCCACGTCTTGTGAACCTGCACCCCGGGAAATGTATACCAGAACATGAGCAATTTAACCATGTTTTATGTACAATGCTCTGTATATGCTGTTTAGTCTGATAAAAAAAGTTAGGGTAAAGTATACTGAGAAACTTTTATTTAGCTATGTTTTCACATTCATATTGTGTGGTGTTTCAGCATGACTTTCTGAGCCACAAGCATTTTGAAATAAAAATGAAGAATCCTATTTTGCAATTGTAATGTAAATCTATGTATTGCTGATACCATTTTACATTTTAATGCTGAAATGAATAAAACCAATATGTTATAGTGACAGAAAATATTTCATGACTATACCTAATTATATTTTTTCTGGGAATACTGACATGGAATGTAACTTAGGTCAATGTAATTTCACCACAACTTGGACCATTGTACTAGGTGGAGGTGAACACTCTCAAAATATAACACGTTTGTGTGCTGCTATATGCACATCTCTGAACTTTAGTCCTTGCTCTGTATTAAAGTGGGCACGTGTATGACAAACAACTATGCTTGCAATAAGAAACAAAAGTGCAAAGGCTATATCCTCTCCCTCTACATTGTCTAAAGAGGGTTATAGTCCTGCAATTTACCAAATTCAGAATCTGCACACCTTGCACGTAGTCACGTTTGTAACAGTTCAGCTACGCAATCAATATGCAACGTTTGTGCATTTGCACTAAAATAATGTTGTTATGCAAAACGAAAATTATTTTCTATTATCCACATCTCTGTGAATGGTTGTCATGCAGCTTGCCACCTGTAGTCAGACCCACCAGCAGATATGCTTGCTGACCCTCCCCCCATCCTTCCCATCACACGCCGTCCCCTATGTTATTCAACGACCTCAAAAGTGCAATTTTCACCATATGCACTGCATAATTATCGTTGCTATGCAATTATACTCCATCTGCTCCAGCCGTGTAAATGGATTTTCTGTCTGCCCTTCATCCCGATGTTTAAACCCTCCCTCCATCCACACTGATGGCACAGCCTCTGCATATACGTTCTGGAGTTCAAGAGTTCCCAAGGGCAAAAGGCGACTGTGTCAATATGCACAGCCATTATAATTGGCCTTGTAAGCAATGTCCTCTTATTCGCAGTAATATATGGAACCAATATCACGGATCCGATTATCCACGGCATTATCCAATATTTTACTCTTAAATACCATGGGTAAGCCGTGGGTATGCGAGTGAATGAAAGCTGCAAATTGCGCTCGGAGCAATCTTTCACTCAGCAGAATGAGGTATGGTTGCCCCCCAATCAACACTCGTCCCCAACCAACCCCCACTCCAGCTGCACTCTACTGACATGTGCATAAGTTGCTCAAATGTATTGATTAAATTGCGGTGTCCACGTTCCCTCCTTCTGTTGGCACTCCATCGTTAGTCTCTACAACTGACCATCATCCCTTCTCGTGACACGTCCCCGACGCCCACTTTTATTGTCATTCGATATTAAACATCCCTTAATGTCCAATTATCCTAGTTTAAAGGGAAATACCAAACCAGTCTTAGAACGTGGCTATTTACTTTTTTAAGGAGGGACCTCTGTTCGAGTTAATGCTTGGAGGCACTTTTGGCTGAGAACCCATCATAGGTTAAAGCTTAAAATGGTGGCAGTTGCCGTGAATGTTAATCAAAAGTTTCGAAATAATTAACGGTGGCACTGGCTGCGTACAGAACTACACATGTTGGGATGTCTGGCTAACAAGCGCCATGACCTCGCCAACTTCGCCTGTGCTCAGGCGACGATGGCGGTGTACAGAACGAGGAAAAAGACGCTGCAAGGTGACACTGACGGCTGCTCTGTGCTGCTTCCAGTGTTCAGGGGCCTGCTCAAGGCGCGGCTCCGGCTGGAGCACGCCACGTACCACACACACGTGTCGGTGATGTGCAGCGCGTCTTCTTCGAACGCTGGGGAGCCTGAAAAGCCCCTCTCTGTACCAGCGTGGACGGCACCCTCCTCGTGTTCACCTTCCGAAACGCTCGCTCGTCACCGTGGCATGCGCGATGACCACCACAACCACGTGGCTTTTATTTCGTGTTGTGCGCGGTGCTTTTAGCGCCATAGCGCGTGAATCTGTAGCGCTTATTTTCATTTCTTTGCTGGTGACTGTGTATTTCATATCGAAATCGCCTCCAGTGGCTGTTGCTGTTGGCGGCAATACAAGTTGTTTAAAAGTCAAAAGTCTGACAAACTACACATGCGGCTCTACTACACATCTTGGTCAAGTTGGGGGTGTTGTGAAGTTACACGATTAACCTATAGGAGGCTAATGAGCCCTTCATAAGGGCTCATCCATGCCGCAGCCTGCACCACCCTCCCCCATCATGAAAGGCTGGTGGGGGTTAAGTGCTGTGTGCTAGTCACATAGCTTGGACCAGTGAAGTACCGAGGACATAGAGCTCGCATGGTTCCCACTCATTCTTTGTTATTGCCCCGAACAGCTGAAATTCCATCGCTTCAAAATGTATTTGGTTACTACCCCCATCTGACACAATTTGATGCCGAGCTGTCGATTCTTGATCATTTCACTTGCAATTACATTTGACATACAGTATATAATCGTTTACTTACACATTCGCCCCATATCTCTTGCATTTTTCTGTAACTTAATCGTAGTATACTGAAATTATTCTGAAAACCATCTGCCCGAGCCGACTAAGACAACATCAAATGCATTCCTGTATTTAACACTTGTGCAATTGTTTGCTCTAATTTCTGTTTGATTCATTGCTGTACTTTATTTGTTATTGCATTTGCCATGTTGGTGATCCCAGGTCACTCTTGCAAATGAAACTCATCCTGGTTTCTCGAGTTCTTTCACGAAACTTAGATCGGCAGTGCTAACTTCAACCACCAGGCGGCACTACAACAGTGTAGAGGACAATCCAATCCAGTACAGTCAAAGCCAGTAAGGCCATCACACGTGCAATAGGGGTTATAATTAGGCCAGTGGTTCTTATAACCTTTTACCTGTAGCATTGCATTCCCCTTTGGTTCTCAATCGTAACAAAAAATATCATGTTAATAAATCCACTGGGGTTTGATGAAACAAAGTAAGTTGTATCAACGTGCACGTGCTTAATTTGTAATTTCGATGATTTACCTTCTAACAAAAATTCTGTCCATGTCTCTCAATCCCAGTAAGGGCATCTCACGCCCCTGTGCGAGATGCACCCCAGGGGGTTAAAGGAGCCACTGGATTAGAGAGCACGCGTACTGCAGTGCATATGTATAATGATTACACGGTGCCTTACTGGACTAATGTATTTGTTGTGATAACTTTTTTTGTTGTTGCTTGTGCTTTTTTGTTTTGGTGCCATTTTTTTAAATGTCTTAGTAGTAGGGTTTTCATTTGCTTGGTTAGTGGCTGTATTATGGGATTTGGTCCTTTTATATAATTCATGTGCAGCCTTATTGGATGCTTTTTTTTGCATGAATGACGCTATACTGTATAGTCAAATTCACTGCAGCCAAGTCAACAAATAATTAGCACTTCATATCAGCTGCATAATACTTACAATATATAAACTGTATAATGTACATACTATATAACTTCACAGTACGGGGGGGGGGGGGGGCGAACAGCACATGCAATACACACAGTGTATGATGACTGCAGCACACACTAAAGTGCCCTGGGCTATACAACGTACACAGTATGTACTAAAATATATACATACTAAACCAGGGGTCTCAAACTCAACTTATCTGGGGGGCGCTGGAGGTAGAGTCTGGGTGAGGCTGGGCCGCATCAAGTATTCCAAAAAAAAGTACAACTGATCCAATCTTCTCAATCTTTATTAATAACAGTTCAGAACATGAACGGTTCTTCAGAACATGGGCTTCTCTTACCTACTCCTTGCTGCCAGAGACCTGGCAGCGCTTCCTCTTCTTACACAGCTGAGCCACATTTGGCTTGAGGGAGGAAGCAATTGAGACCCTCAGTATGGCTTGAAGATGCTCATCAGTAAGTTTGGACCTGTACTTTGACTTATTAAAGTTCACGGTGCAGAAGAGCTTTTCACACAGATATGTGCTCCCAAAAAGGCACATGGTCCGCTTGAACATCCTGGAAAGCTCAGGGAAGGTGGGGGGCAATTCTCTCAAAAATTGTCCAAGCTTGTCTGCTTTTGCACTCACCTCCCTGAACTTGGCTTTGAGTTCAGAATTGCACTGCAGGTCAATTAGCTCCATTTGAAGCACAGGAGGGGCATCTTGCACATCGAAGGAGAAGGGGTCAGCAAAAAATTGAAAAGTGGCTCTGTGTCTTGAAGTCTGCAAACCTGTGATCAAATTCCTCCTGTAGCTTTACAATGGCATCAGCATACTTCTCACCACTGAATGGTGTGCCCGCGTCCATGAGTGCCTTGCATGCTGTGAAATGGCAGAGGTTTGTCTGAGAGAGCTGGGCTTTCCATAACACAAGTTTTGTGGAGAATGCTCCGACTTTGTCATAGGCAGCACTGACAAGCTGCCCCTGGCCTTGTAGTACATTCAGCTCCTGTGTGATGTCAACAAGAAAAGCTAAGTCCATGAGCCATTTGGGATCACTTAGCACAGGAACAGCCATCCCATACTTCTCCATGAAGGCTTTCACTTCTGCTCTTAACTCAAAAAACCTCTTCAAGACGTTTCCCCTGCTGAGCCAACGTACCTCGGTGAAGTAGAGCACATCCTCATATGCTGACTCTATTTCCTCTAAAAAGGCGCGGAACTGCCGGTGCTTTAAGCCCCTGGATCTGATATGGTTGATGCATTTCACAACGACAGACATCACATTGTCAAACTTCAGGCATTTGCTGTAAAGGGCCTGCTGATGGATAATGCAGTGCAGAGCAATGGCCTCCTCCACACCCTCCTCTTCCAGTTTTCTTTGAACAAGTGCCACCAGTCCATTTCTCCTCCCTGTCATTGATGGCGCTCCGTCGGTTGTTATTCCAGCAAACCTCTTCCACGGTAAACCGGCATCCACAATGGCATCACACGGCTGGCGGAATATCTCCTGAGCGGTGGCCTGGCCATGCGTTGGATTCGCTGTGAGCAACTCAGCGATGTGATAGACACGGGACACAGACACAGCGATGTGATAGACACGGCACACGCACACAGCGATGTGATAGACACGGCACACGCACACAGCGATGTGATAGACACGGCACACGCACACAGCGATGTGATAGACACGGCACACGGACACAGCGATGTGATAGACACGGCACACAGACACAGCGATGTGATAGACACGGCACACGCACACAGCGATGTGATAGACACGGGGCACGGACACAGCGATGTGATAGACACGGCACACAGACACAGCGATGTGATAGACACGGCACACAGACACAGCGATGTGATAGACACGGCACACGGACACAGCGATGTGATAGACACGGCACACAGACACAGCGATGTGATAGACACGGGGCACGGACACAGCGATGTGATAGACACGGCACACAGACACAGCGATGTGATAGACACGGCACACGCACACAGCGATGTGATAGACACGGGGCACGGACACAGCGATGTGATAGACACGGCACACAGACACAGCGATGTGATAGGCACGGCACACAGACACAGCGATGTGATAGACACGGCACACGGACACAGCGATGTGATAGACACGGCACACAGACACAGCGATGTGATAGACACGGGGCACGGACACAGCGATGTGATAGACACGGGGCACGGACACAGCGATGTGATAGACACGGCACACAGCGATGTAATAGACACGGCACACAGACACAGCGATGTGATAGACACGGCACACAGACACAGCGATGTGATAGACACAGCACACAGACACAGCGATGTGATAGACACGGGACACAGCGATGTGATAGACACAGCACACAGACACAGCGATGTGATAAGACACGGGACACAGCGATGTGATAGACACGGGGCACGGACACAGCGATGTGATAGACACGGCACACAGCGATGTAATAGACACGGCACACAGACACAGCGATGTGATAGACACGGGACACAGCGATGTGATAGACACAGCACACAGACACAGCGATGTGATAGACACGGGACACAGCGATGTGATAGACACGGGGCACAGACACAGCGATGTGATAGACACGGCACACAGACACAGCGATGTGATAGACACGGCACACGGACACAGCGATGTGATAGACACGGGACACAGACACAGCGATGTGATAGACACGGCACACAGACACAGCGATGTGATAGACACGGCACACAGACACAGCGATGTGATAGACACGGCACACGGACACAGCGATGTGATAGACACGGCACACGGACACAGCGATGTGATAGACACGGGACACAGACACAGCGATGTGATAGACACGGCACACAGACACAGCGATGTGATAGACACGGCACACGGACACAGCGATGTGATAGACACGGCACACGGACACAGCGATGTGATAGACACGGCACACAGACACAGCGATGTGACAGACACGGCACGAGGACACAGCGATGTGATAGACACGGCACACAGACACAGCGATGTGATAGACACGGCACACGGACACAGCGATGTGATAGACACGGCACACGCACACAGCGATGTGATAGACACGGCACATAGACACAGCGATGTGACAGACACGGCACACAGACACAGCGATGTGACAGACACGGCACACAGACACAGAGATGTGATAAGACACGGCACACAGACACAGCGATGTGATAGACACGGGGCAGCACACGGACACAGCGATGTGATAGACACGGCACACAGACACAGCGATGTGATAGACACGGCACACGGACACAGCGATGTGATAAGACACGACACACGGACACAGCGATGTGATAGACACGGACACAGCGATGTGATAGACACAGCACACAGACACAGCGATGTGATAGACACGGGACACAGCGATGTGATAGACACGGGGCACAGACACAGCGATGTGATAGACACGGCACACAGACACAGCGATGTGATAGACACGGCACACGGACACAGCGATGTGATAGACACGGGACACAGACACAGCGATGTGATAGACACGGCACACGGACACAGCGATGTGATAGACACGGCACACAGACACAGCGATGTGATAGACACGGCACACAGACACAGCGATGTGATAGACACGGCACACGGACACAGCGATGTGACAGACACGGCACACAGACAGCGATGTGATAGACACGGCACACGGACACAGCGATGTGATAGACACGGCACACAGACACAGCGATGTGATAGACACGGCACACGGACACAGCGATGTGATAGACACGGCACACAGACACAGCGATGTGATAGACACGGCACACAGACAGCGATGTGATAGACACGGCACACAGACACAGCGATGTGATAGACACGGGGCACAGACACAGCGATGTGATAGACACGGCACACAGACACAGCGGTGTGATAGACACGGCACACAGACACAGCGGTGTGATAGACACGGCACACAGACACAGCGATGTGATAGACACGGCACACGGACACAGCGATGTGACAGACACGGCACACAGACAGCGATGTGATAGACACGGCACACGGACACAGCGATGTGATAGACACGGCACACAGACACAGCGATGTGATAGACACGGCACACGGACACAGCGATGTGATAGACACGGCACACAGACACAGCGATGTGATAGACACGGGGCACAGACACAGCGATGTGATAGACACGGCACACAGACACAGCGGTGTGATAGACACGGCACACAGACACAGCGGTGTGATAGACACGGGACACAGCGATGTGATAGACAGGGCACACAGACACAGCGGTGTGATAGACACGGCACACGGACACAGCGATGTGATAGACACAGACACAGCGGTGTGATAGACACGGCACACGGACACAGCGATGTGATAGACACGGCACACGCACACAGCGATGTGATAGACACGGCACACGGACACAGCGATGTGATAGACACGGCACACAGACACGGGGCAGCGACCCTCCTCACCCAGCAGCAGCCACGGCTTCACCACCCCGACCTGCAGGTCGACACTCCAGTCGGGCACGAAGCCCAGCGAGCGGCCGCCCGGACCCCCGCGGGCCTCGGCCCCCCGGGTAGGGCCCCGCGGGCCCTCGGTGTAGCTGAGCCCCCCCGGCGTGGTCACCCGGGCCCTCGGTGTAGCTGAGCCCCCCCGGGTAGGGCCCCCCGGGCCCTCGGTGTAGCTGAGGCCCCCCGGCGTGGTCACCCGGGTCCTCTGGGGCCGCAGGGAGCCTCGCGCGAAGGCCGCGATGTCCGCCAAGAGAGACGGCTCCATGCCGCCACGGGGCGTCGGCTGCTGTGTGTGTGCTGTGTGTGTGTGCTGCCTGTGTGTGCTGTGTGTGCTGCCTGTGTGTGTGCTGTGCGTGTGTGTGCTGTGTGTGTGTGCTGTGTGTGTGCTGTGCTGTGTGTGTGCTGCCTGCGGGATGTGTGTGCTGTCTGTGTGTGTGTGCTGTGTGTGTGTGCTGCCCCGAGGTTGTGTGTGCTGTCTGTGCTGCCTGTGCTGTGTGTGTGCTGTCTGTGCTGTGTGTGTGCAGCCTGTGCTGTGTGTGTGCTGCCTGTTGTGCTGTGTGTGTGCTGTCTGTGCTGTGTGTGTGCAGCATGTGCTGTGTGTGTGCTGCCTGTGCTGTGTGTGCTGTCTGTGCTGTGTGTGCTGTCTGTGCTGTGTGCTGTGTTGTGTGTGTGCTGCCTGCAGGTTGTGTGTGCTGCCTGCAGGTTGTGTGTGCTGCCTGCAGGTTGTGTGTGCTGCCTGCAGGTTGTGTGTGCTGCCTGCAGGTTGTGTGTGCTGCCTGCAGGTTGTGTGTGCTGCCTGCAGGTTGTGTGTGCTGTCTGTGCTGTGTGTGCTGTCTGTGCTGTGTGTGCTGCCTGTCCTTGCTGTGTGCTGTGTGTGCTGTATGTGTTGCCTGTGTGATGTGTTCGCAGTACTTAATATTATGTCATACGCAAAGCACACATACAGACGCACGAGCAAATTGATGAAATCCACACGAATCACACCGACGTTAATCGCGTGTCCCTTTTGTTGTCAGCGTTGCATTCGTTTCGTTTGTTGGCGTGAGTTACAAATTGTAGTGTGTCCTGCACGGTCAGACTTGTTGTGGGACGTGTTTGGTTAGTGTGTACTGTGTGTTATTTTAATAATATTTTACAACACAGGTAATGTGGACCGTTTAATCGTGTAAAAAAATAAATATACCGGAATGTCGTGAGATGTATCAAGCTTATTGTGGGTTGCGCCTTTAAGTCGGTGCACATGTTGAGCTTATACGCCAGGTGGCGATGTAACACATGAATACGTATTGGTCTTCAGATCTCAATCCATCTTAACCTGTTAATTATTACTATGACTGTAACACATGCTGAGAAATGTAAAGATGATAAATAATCAGCATGCCTGTCAACCCATACGATTCACCCGCATTCTTGTACAGGTCCATACGGCGTACAGCCCTTTAAATACGGGCAAAACAAAATGTTTGGTCTGTTTGTGTTTCTCCCCTGCGATGGGACTTTGTTGGATGAACGTTGATATTTATAAGGGCACGGGGTGACCAATGAGGTCTGAATTGGTCTGTTATACGGTAGGCACTGATAAGGGTTTGACAGGTATGAATCAAATATGTATTGCTTTCCATAGCAGCATTTCTCTTATGTGGAATTTGATGGGACGTTTCGTCTCTGGCATATAGACACACCTGCCATTGCCATTGAAATAGTTTTCAATTTCCGAAGCTGTTGTTGCCCGTGTGGGTGCAGGAGTGTGGGCCCCACGGTGGTGAGATGTTCACTCAGCCTCCTGGTCTGCAGGAAGGCCCTTGGGTTTGATCCCGACCCTGACGCCTCTATATTTGGAGTATGCGTGTTCTCGCCGTGGCAGCGTGGATTTTTCTCCGGGGGCTCCGGTTTTTTTCCTCCACATTTGGAAGCGTGCTTTTGGAGTATTTGGCTGCTATAAATGTCCAGATGATAAGCCACTTCGTTGAGCTATCATTTGTGGCCAAATCCCTTCTGGAAAATATATATGTAGCTCAGTGGGCCTTACCTGGTAAAATGAAAAATGGTTTAGGTTGCATGTGCAAAAGTAAAAAAAAAATCATCATGCTGTGTCTGCTGTTAGTGCCCACGATTCACAACCGCAAATTGCAACGACAGTTGTGTTCAGTAAATGGATCCTAAATTTCATCGATATATATTTTCCAATCCATTTTATCTCAAAGTTAGCTAGTGGCCTCTTTGCACTTGCTAACCTTGCTTTCACTTAAGAGTCTGATCTACTGAAAGTGTTGATGCTTCCGAGCTGCTTGGAATGATTACAGTATACACATTCAGGTTCCTCTCCAATAAGGATTGACACAGAATCTATAGTTTCATTTCTGGTTGTCATCAACTTGCTTTTCTCAACACTGATTTACACTCTTGCTGCTTTGTCTAGTCTAGATGTTAAGTATTCCACTTCAATGTCATCTGAAATTAGATCTGTTTTTCTATTAGATCAATGTCATCTGCTTATATTATATTGTTGACTTTCCTTAACTTTGTCGATCATCATCTTCTCAAAAACGAATGAAACATGCAGTGACAGCTGGCGGCCGTGTTGAACCATTCGCTGAGTATACTCCTGAAAAAAACTGCACTTTGTGCATTCCTGTGTGAGGGCCTTCATACTATTGTTTTCATTCCTTGAATGATATTGTGGTTCCACACAATTTCACATGAAGCCTGGTACCAGACTTATTTTTTTTTAATCGATGATGTTCCGGTTGATTTTCATTAGACTATCAATGCATTTTACATTCTGACATTGAAAACATCATCTTGTGCTGTGTACAGCTGTGAAACTGGCTTGTTCTTCAACTAGTTGCCTGCTATTAATCTATAAAATTACTTTCTCATTACATTTCAAACTTACGTGTTTGATGTTTTGAGTACTTTTTACCATGCTTTTGTCTGAATTCCGATTGCACTGTTTCATGGATTGTTTTAACTTTGCGATTTAACATAACATATTGCTGTTCTCGCCAAACAGGTTTTCAACATGATGAGAATGTGGAGCTTTTTCTTTGCCTGCACACCATTACAAGTTTATAAGTTTATAAAAGTTCCGTGTTTTATTAATGTATAATTGTTTTGGTTCATGCATAGATTACTGAATTAATGTATTGTGAGCCGTATTTACATTTAAAAACTAGGTATTCATTTATTAATTATTATAACATTTAATCAACGTATCACCATGAATGTACTTCCTAAAATTCAGCACACCTAATCATTTTAAACGTGTACAGTGCAGTGCTGTCAGCGACACATTCTGAAATGCTTTACAAAATACAGGAATACAAGCTGTGATCCAGCACAACATTGACACCTGTTTTTTTTTCACAAACGTCTCCAGTTCCTTAGGGCTTGACACAATCAGAGCATGTCACCATGTGCAAGATTTCTGCATTTGTATAAATGGCACCTACAGCTTGAAAGATGTACGGACATTTGTCATGGATATTGATGGCCAACGAATTATAATCATTCTGGTAGCTTCAAGGATCTTTGTCAGAAGAACCTTATGGAAATTAAATGGGGTTCGATGGTGGAAAGAGCATTCCATACAACCTCGAGGCCAATATATTGTGTTATATACAATTCAGTAGGAATTTACTTTTCAGGCAATTTTAATCCAGAGACATCTACTTGTAAAATGAAACTATATTTTACATTTCTTACATCGATTAAAATGCTGTTCAATAATGTATAGGGCAGAGGAGGTTAACATAAATAATACATATACATTTGTATAGGAACTAGCATCTGACTTGTGTTAAGTTTATCATTCCATTGCTTTATTTTTATTATCTGTCTTGCGTGCAGTGGACAACGAATTTGACATGTCAAATACCTTATGTCATAATAACGCACAAAGACTTGCAGTCAAACTTGGCAGACTACAGTTTATGAACTTGAGCCTCAAACAGGGAATATCATGAAATGTTATCAGTACAGTCCATGGGGTTTGTGAGAAAATGACATGCCTGAGTTTGAAAAGTTATTTTATCTTCATGACAAATACAAGGTGTTAATACTGTATGCTTAGCTCACATAAATCCAGAATGTGGATTTGACTGATCCAACTGAAATATGTAAAGATACGATGTAAACCAAACTTAGATGTATTGTGCAAAGATACTACATTAGTAACGCATTTAAACAAAAACTAATGAAATGTGTTCCGTTCAAAATACATTTATTATTATAAAAGACGAATCATCAGCTTGTCCATTACTACAGCATAACACAAAACAGGGCTATTTTATTCCTACCATATTTTACTGTTATTTTGTTTGCTGTAAATTGATGTACAACAACTGATAACGAACATACAGTATAATACAATTATTTTCCTAAATTAATAATTTAATCATCTACAGTGTAACAGCTATACGGTACTGTAATTTTCAGCATTTATAGACATAGATGCCAGATCTGAATGGTTTAGTAAAACTAAACTATTCTTTCTGCCTTGTGTCGCGATCGAAACGTCGTGGGTTTTTTGCTTTTATTATTATTATGATTGAATTTAATTTTACTATTTATATTTTTATTGTGGGTTTTTTTTTGCTTTCATTATTTTCAATTTATTATTTTTTGTTATTTTTCTTTTTTTCTATCTACGTGACTTTACCGAAAGAACCAAGAATATAAATATTGTACATTTGGTGTGGACATTAGTAAAAAAATAAAAAAGAGCAGGTTTTGTTAGCTGGCACAGATGAGATCTCGGGTTCGGATCTGGATAGCGTGCAACCCACTAGTGTTTAAACTGAAAACAAGTTTAATCTTGGGTGACCACCCAGATTCAAAGTTAGGATCAAACCTGTGCCAGTCGAGTACTCTGACCCTTGAGCCACCCAGCCACCTTGGATAAATAGAGTATGAATACAAAATCTTCAACATTTGTCGCCACTTAAATACATATTTTCGTGCTATATTAATATTGCTTCCAGAGTACGAAGTTTGTTTACTATATAATTAATCTTATCTGTATTTATAAAAAAAATAACATTTCAAACTACTTAATGATCATGAAAATTCAGTCCCCTGAGTGAATGAACACAGTTGCAGTTTAGAACTCATGGGTTATGTGTAGGAGAGTTTATGTTGTGAAAATAGATTTTTTTCAGGTATATGGAAGGATATTTTAAAAAAATATCCATAATTATGCACCATAATTCAAGTTCAACGCAAAAGTTACAACTAATGTGTAATATAATTAGCCATGATCTGTTTACTGCTGGATGAAGGCTTCCTCAAGGCACCATCCCTCACGATTTCGTGATGAAATAATCCTGCACGTGATCTGATATTAATACTCAATATCAGCATTTGTCATCTCAAATGTGCCCCCTCTTTTCGCTGCCATTCGACTGTCAGTTTCGACCATTTACAACCCATCCCTTGTTGTCCTTCCCCCGTACCTCCTATCAGCACGATTGGCTGCGTACGGTGTGAAAGAAGTTCAACATACATGCAAAAATACGTGGCGGCGTGTCTTGTCCAATCTCACTGACTTTTGTTCACAGTCAAATGTCCATAATGTGTATCTGTTCCCCGTTTCATTTGTTCTTTCAATCAGTTCAATTCCAAGCATGCATTTTTTCATGCTTTGCATACTTGTAAGTTTTTGTGCCTTATATCTGTCATGTGCTCATGAATTAGTGCAAATCAACAAAACAATGTAATAATGATTTAAAGCTTTCGTGACTGCAGGGATTCATATTCTTGGTTCTTTTGTTTTATATTTTTATTATTTTATTGTTTTCCTTATACGTGACTTTACCGAAAGAACCAAGAATATAATGTAATAGTGCTTTTATAATTTCAACAAATCCATCGCTATGAAATTAATACTCTTTTGTAAATGATACATTTTCCGTTCTATACGATGCAATACAGAGAGAGTACTCTACAGTAATGCATACTCAATATCGAAGAATGGCGTTTTCAAAATACATTGTACAAACTTCGTAACTTATATTAATTTGAAGGAATCTTCACGAGCATAACTGGCATTAATGAGATGATGAATGTATTATTTTATTTACTGTGTCATACGGCCATGTGTAATTCTTCCGTTGGACATAAAACCTCAAGTACAACGAGCGCGGCGCTATATAAAAGCAAACGTGCATATGTCACGATGTAGAATTCACAAATAAATTCTAAAAGCATTCCTTTATCATAATAGTTTCAACTATTCAAACCCATGTTATTTCCCTTTCTAAATTTTTCACAAAATAAACTAGCCAATACATCAGTTATGCATTTAAAAAAGTACTTTATGGGTATATAATTGTACTCTCTGCTGGCACAACAGAGCCGACATCTTCAGAAGCCTGCGTCCTTAAGACCAGCAAGAAAACAAGTTGAGCATAGCTGTCCCGAGAAAAGGCTGTGCACAATTCAAATTCACGGCCGAGAGTGGCGAGGCACTTCACTTGATGAGGATCTATGCTGCGTGTGCGTGTCTTTGAGGTGTTGCCGCAGGCTTGATGCAAACGCAAACATTATTTCGGCAAGGCTCTTGTTCACCAAATAACGGGGAATGTTGCCCTGCATTGTTCAGAAACAAACACAGCATGACAGGCGTTGTGTGATGTACCAGAATTGTGCACGAATGACGAGATATATTACATTACAGTACTTTATACAACAATTTGTTTAAAAACAGAAAATATTTTGATTTAAAGCTTTCGTGACTGCAGGGAGTCATATTCTTGGTTCTTTCGGTAAAGTCACGTAGAAGGGAAACAATAAAATAATAATATATGATGATTGCTTGTGTTGCAATCGAAACGTCGTGAGAATGCTATTGTTTTATATGTTTCTTATTTTACTGTTTCCCTTCTAATTGACTTTACCGAAAGAACCAAGAATATAACAGAAAATATATTCATATGAAAATGCCAAAGTAGAGTAGAATTGTCCTACAATTGGAAAATGTACGTTTTAAGGTAATCTTGCATTATTCTTTGGTTCTTTCGGTAAAGTCACATAGATAGAAAAATAATAATACAAATAAAGTGAATAAAAATAATAATAATAAAAAAACACTAATGTGGACTGTAACCTGGTTCTTAATCGGAGTGTGTGTACTGGCAATCTTTAATGTGGACTGTAACCTGCTTATTAAGTTTGGTGAGTGTACTGGGAGTCTATAATGTAGACTGTAGTCTGGTTTTTAAGCTGGTGAGCGTATTGGCAATATATAATGTAGACTGTAGCAATGTCAGTACACTCACCAAGGTAAAGAACCAGGCTACAGTCTACATTATAGGTTGCCAGTACACTTACCCAGCTTAACAATTGCTATAGTCTACATTATAGACTGGCAGTACACTCACCAAACTTAATAACCAAGCTACAGTCCACATTATAGACTGCCAGTAGACTTACTCCGATTAAGAACCAGGCTACAGTCTACATTAGTGTTTTTTGTTTGTATTATTTTATTAATTATTTTATTTTATCTTGCATTAAATAAATATCTTACCTTTATGTCTGTATTAAGGATCCATATAAATGAACAGCCATTGTGTTGCTCAGAATTCTTCTGCACAATGAAGCCTCCAGAGTCATTGTTACCCCTAGAATGTAAAGTACAAAGCGTAATTATAAACTGCACAGAATGGCGTAAGTAATATGGAATTACAGACGTTGATTTATTAGTGATGTGTAATATGAAGGATATCACTGATCTACCCCCACGCTATTACCGAACAAAATCGGAGGACGGAGGTTTGTTTTCATGCAATGTGGACATCCCAGCTGAGATGTATCGCTGGCCTTGCTTCTCAATCCTTCTCACATTCACAAAGTCCCTGGGAAAAATAAAATATATATGCTACTGTAATTACTTCAGTATATTCTTAAAATTTATGGGAGATCAGTTCCAGTTATGCATTCTTTTACTCAACATAAAAATGTATTATATAATCATAAGCACGACTTCTTTGAATAGGATCCTATTCATAACGGGATCATACGATTGAGAGAGTCGCACATGGATCCACCACTGGGACAACCAAGACTGTCCAACCTACCACGCAGACCACTGGGAATCTGTCAGAATAACCAGCACTGTCATTTTGAACATCTGGTATCAGTAATGCATAGCTAAGCAAGGTTAACAATTGCATTGCAATAAAGTGGCATTCCATTGTACTCATCTTTCATGGATTAATCTCTGGTAGAATGATATGCAAATGAATTGTAGATTAGTATTTTTTACATGAGAATCTCCTGCAGAAATCATCCAGGGTGCAACTTTAGGAATCAAATATGATTCCTGCAGGATTTGTGCAACTCTCGCATGCTCACATTGTACTACCCTATTATTCAAAACACATTGTCGAAAATCATGGTCAACACAGTACAGTTATCACAATGCATTGTTCATGTTTTCAGTAAATACAATGACTGTTCTTGTAGAGTTAGAATTTTAATAGTTATGATTGTGTTTAGTTATTTTGTGTATGCGTGTGCACAGAAATTGTTCCATCCATTACCAGAATGGTCAAACAGTTGAACACGTGCTGCCAGACTTTGGAATAGAGCATTTGCGAAAATGAAGGATCTCCAATATTACAATATTAGAATATGACCTTAAATTACTTGATTTTAATATTTTCTAACAGTTCGTTGCAAGCTACAGTTTTTACACAATACAAATCTGTTTGTTTTACAAGCTCAAAGTTTGGGGATGAAATCCAGTCGCATTTTACTTATTGCATCGATATACTCCAGCACAGTATTTGTAATGCATTGGTCTCTCACTAACATGCAAACGTTCTGAAAAAAGTGTACATACACACACCGTTATGTAATTATGCAAAGTTTTGTAAACACAGGTACTGTTTATCTAATGTTAACTACGAATTATTACGGTGGATAGCATTAACATTGCTACGTAATTTATTTTCCTATTGAGCATAAATACCTTGGTTTGACATAGCCATTAGCTGCTCCTGCTGAGACATCATATGTAACAAGTGTGTGGTCACTTATCCTCATCAACACCTGCAAACGTGATTAAAAATATATATATACATGACTGTATATCCCATCAATTTTATGCTAACGTTCCACGAAACAATAACTTTTAAATACGCAAAACAAGTAAGCAAACATGTTGAGCAACTGTTTAAGGTGTACAAATAGTAATACAGAATATAGAACAACATTTTAGGCACCATTGCGGTTCATTAGCACACAGCCAATTTCAAAACAGGAATAGTTGTGGGAACGCAGATATGGTCATATTCTGTAGAATTTTAAGATATTACATTGTATACATACAGCGTGATTTTAATTCAAACATTATTTTAGCTGTTTTACATTTTACTTACGTATATAAGTTGCAAATGTTGGCCATACAGATTGTCCAATAATTTATTATTCTGTACGTAAATGGAACAGTAATGATTTTGCATATTCTTGCCACTACATTCTGTTTGAAAAGTCGTAGTGCCTCCATGCTCAAACAAGCATGCAGGCGTTCTGATCTCTGGCAGAACTGAGTCAGCAGTGGATATTCCACGTCACTATGGCAGGGACCAGTTTTTATATGATACAACCACTGTTTCCACAAAATGGGCAATTGGTGCTATTTCTTTTGACATAATTGCATCTCCGTCATTTCACGTGAAGCAACTGAAGCATGGAATAGAATTAAGTGCATGTCTCGGTAAAATGAAAAATGTGCTTTATTGTCTCTTCCAAGCCATAGTCATTTTCTTTTTTTGATATGAGTTACATTAGCAATTCATTTTTTATGCATTTCTTTCAAGGGCACAATAAAAGTAAAAAAAACACAATCTAGCTGTACATTTAAAATGTACGGTAGTGACAGAATAAATCTTGTACAACATAAATTATGTTTCTATTGCTGATTTACTCCTGCCTCACATAATCACAGAGCGGTTTGTTCAAGGCCCGTGCTAGAATTTAAAGCTACAGAGCTGTTTTGTTTTGTTTGGCACGGATTCAGGAGATTACTTACTTGCTTGTCTCTATCACTCTGAGTTTATAATCAACACCTTTGCTCTCCTGATTACACAATGGTGCCATGCATTTATGAGATACGTATATATACTTTCTATCTATACAAATATACACTTGAATAAATATTATTCAGAAGCAAATAAGTTGCATATTATTTGGTTAGCAATTGTAGATTTAATATTCGTAATCTGCTGAAGTTAATTGTGTGGTGAACTATGTTAGGTACGCAGTACTTCTAATTTAAATCAATTGTGCGTGTTACGAACCATTCTCTTCAGGAAATTAATTGATCTCGAAAAACGTTGCACACTTACATATTTTACCACAGACACTTCCACATTTTTACGTGCAATACTCTATTTTGCTTGTAAATTCACCTGCAATGTCTTAACTTGGAACCCAATCACGACTCATTCACATTCCCATTCGTAATGCTTCACATTATAATCGCAATTCTTCATTATACGAAGTTACTGCTTAAAACATATAATCACATCAACGGCCACCCCCAGTCTGGAATTCCAATGTGTTTTTCTTTCCATGTACTCTGAGCTGTCATATAATACCTAGCCTGTTCAAACATTTGCGTGCCTCATAATCCTTGAAGATTCAGACTTTGGTTTACCCTCAGTTATCCTCACGAGGCCTCCAACAATGTTGCACTGCACATGCAGTGCACTTCTCTGTCCTTAAAATAAATGCTGTTATGGAACTAGCAATTGAACCATGTTATTTAGCTTACATTGAAATCGGGGAAGTCGTGATTCAGTTGTTAATCACTACGCTAGGAATTAGGTAACTGGAGTTCAATTCCCGTTCACGACCAATGCTCGTGACGACAATTATCTGAACCCCCCGGTCGACTCAGCCTCAAATGAACACCTGGTTGTGGTGTGTAAACATCGCCACTGGGGAAAGAAAGTCGGTCAGGCATGGTGCCGGCCACCCCCACCCCCCCCCAAACCACGTCGTGCGCCGTGCCGGCCTTCGCAGGTGCTGCCAAACAGCATTTGGTAGCACCTGTCACAGCAACATGGGAACTTTGTGTTGGGCTTACGCGCATGCTCACCTGGCAGTCGATGACTGCACGGTTCCAGCTGGGCATTCTTTCAGGCTGTAGTATCACCTCCTTGTAAACCACTTCGGGAGGGCACGGCAAGGACATCTGCTTGCATACAATTGCACAGATCTGTTGCATTTGCTCTCTTGTAAGGATAAATAATTGTCGGGAAAGGTCGTTGATTTGTTGAACAATTCTAGATCATTTGCAACGTGATTTCATATTCACAGTCGCACACAATGGGCTTGTTTTGCAAATGTTATCACAAGGACGAATGTAAAGCTTGTAACAGATGGCCTGTGTGGGTGATTCCTTGCAGAAATAAATTAAGTAATAAGTAAAGCATGGTGAAAATGATCATCAGTAGGTTATCAATATTGTACTTTAAAAATATTACCCACGTTTACAATTCATGATATTTTAAATTCACCAGAAAAAAGTATTAGAAACATTGTGTTTTATATATGTTTGCAAATAAAAAATGCTGTATGGCATGGTAACCTTGAGTATAAATATCTTCATGTTATTTGGTCCATTTAAAGTATACACATCTCCATCATCCTGAGAAAAAAAACAACAGGCATTATATATAGACTACACTTACATTTATTGTCATCAATATTAATATTTTTTATACATTTAGGTTGTTAGCTTCAAAACTATAACAGCTTTGTCTGTGATCCTGTGAATTTCCATATTCAGCTCATTAACTGTGCAGCATTCTCTGCCTGTTGACAGAATGGATACAATCATATGAACCATGAATACACCCAAACATATTGTACCTGCTTGCGAGGCAATTTTCGATTCCCGTTCACCTCCACAAAGCATATCACTTCAATTTAATGAGCTGCTGAGGCTGATTATGATGACGACTCACCCTGCTTTTTTCTTTATTCCAGACAGTTTCCATACCCAACATAGATATCACATTCTGCATAGCGTCTATCCCCTGCTGTACGTACTGGTATTCCTGCAACAACAACAACAAAAACTCCATTGTAATCAGTCATCTTTTTTATGCGCATGACTAAACGTCCTTTTAAAAAAAGTCCTTTTCATAAACACCACCGCATTAGATGTGGATGGGTGGCTCAGTTTGATCAAGTTGTGCCTGTGTCAGATACTTGCAGCAGCACTGAGATACTGGATTGAAATCTCAGAGCCACCCAAAACGAAACAACATTTTTTTTAATGCAGCACGTTTATAGATTTCAGTGACTGGACTAAGAACTTTTGTATTTAGTTAAAATTTGTCCATGATTAAAGGCAGGCACATTTTGAGGATTTACAGAGAAGATAAGATGGACTTATGGGTAAATCTGCACAACAATACAGTGGCATTTGCACAAGTGAACAATGTCAGACAAACGCAATTGGAGGCCCGTCAAATTGACGTTCTGCTTCGATCAAAGGGGAGTTTTGCAAACGCTTTGCTCAGTGTGCATATACGGCTTTTTTTGTCAACCCATTGCTGGAAGAGGGCCTCCCCACGCCATATAGGTCACGGGGATAATTTTACCATATTTCACCATCTCGGCCAGTGTGGGCTGGCTAAGGCAAAAGAGTACCACCGTAAATTTCGATTTAAAGCTTTCGTGACTGCAAGGATGCATCTTCTTTGGTTCTTTCGGTAAAGTCACGTAGAATGAGAATAATACATCAATTTATTTTTTTAATAATACATCAATTTATTTTTTTATTCTCATTCTACGTGACTTCACCGAAAGAACCAAAGGAGATGAGTACCACCGTACTTTCAGGTCGGAGAATTGGCGAATGGTACAACAATTTATTCTGCTGCACTGTTCTCTACTGCTCACCATGAAACTCTGCAGCCTCTAACAGATGTTCTGCGTATGGTTCTCAACCATCAAAGCACCACCCAGGCTCAAACCTGCTTAGCTTCTGTTATCTGACAATATAGAGTGCATTCCGGATTATTTAATCATTGGCAAATACATATACGGTATTAGCAATACTGTACACTGTAACTGGCGAAAAATAAGCCAAAAAAAATACGTAAGTATATTGCCTATAAGAATGAACTTGTTCAGAGATGTTATCTGTAGTAGTTTTTTATTGTAGTAGTTTTTTTTAATGTGTCAAATATAGTAATCTCGAATGTAAGTACTGTACATGATATAAAGAATGGAACTACTCTTTTGTTCAAACCGCTGAGCTTGTGCGAATAGTGTCATGTGTTTTTATGAACTGTTTTAATTTATGGGGAATACCTAGGGCTCAGAAAACCATGGAATAATCGTGTATAACCCTGGATAAAATGACACAAGTGAAGTATAAAATACAATCACTTCCACAGATTCCACAATCATATAATCTGTAAAACCGGAAATACCCCTCCCCACTAAACATAAAAATAGCGTATGTTAAATACGTAACATTTAAATATAGTTTTATATTACTAGTTACAGACACAAAGAGTAGGGAGATATTTGACGATGAGGCACTTTTAAAGGTACGAGCAGTCGCATGTGATATATTCATAATATTCATAATAAAGGTGTTTTGGGTTAGATCGCGTTATTTATAAATGTGTCGTAACCCTCCACCACCCGACACGGCCAATCAGCAAAAAAGTATCACGTTGACAAAAGACAAATAGTTCACTACTTTAGCCCACCGGTGTGTTGAAGAGTGAATCCACAACATTTACAGTTTGAGTAGTACGACGTTTCGCTGGTAATTACATCCAGCATCATCGGGCAATTCGCCAGAATGGTGAAGCCCTCTCCACTTGCTCCCGGTCTTAATTAGAGCAGCAGGGTGACGTCATCATTTAACTCATTTCAGGTGCAGTGATTAGAGGCGGAGGGGGGTATTGTAATTATATAATCGATTGGTAATCAGTCAATGGTTATGATTAGTAATGAGTTGTATATTTGTAATTAGTTGTAATGTGTGTTATTGTGAGTAATCCGTTAATTAGTATGTGTTTCCCCTATAAGGAATTGTAATATGTATTATTTAATAATACGCTTCCAAGCCGCACTAAGCCTTACATTATTTAAAAATGGAATATGATGTTCCTTGCCTACGTGTTAAACTGACATGTGATATAACTAGTTTTTCGGCGATAAACCCCGTAGACATGTGAATATTTGACTAGCAGTGATTGCTTGGCAGGTCACATTAGCTTGACTGTGTCCCCCAGATATGAAATGCTTTCTGACTGGTTTCAGTAGATAACATCTCACTGAGCGAGCCACACAGACATGACTGCCTTTGTTTTGCTGGAAAATGTTAATGGCTCACTCTCCCATAAAGGGGGTCAACCGGTCAAGGCGATAGAGCAGTTGTCCTGAAGCTCAGATGCAATACAATTCGTATTCCTACCGCGTCTAAATGCAACCATTTCCCAAGATACTGTACATAACAGTGGGACGTAGGTGTATAGGGGAAAGGAGACATATGTTGATTTAATTAATAGAGAGAAAGTAAAAGTGGATGATGTTATTACTAGACGAGTCAACAGCACAGATGGCTTGGGAAAGTGGGTTCCAGACTGTGGGTGCAGCAGAGGAGAATAAGTGACCTCCCACTGAGCTAAGGTTGACCGGGGGTTTTGATATAATGCCTTTCTTGCTAGAGCAGAGAGGGCATGAAGGGGAGTAGAGTGAGATGAAAGCGGAGATGTAGAAATGTCTCTCTCACTGAGAATATTACATTATTTTAAAATGGAATGTGATGTTCCTTGTGTACCTCACTGGACAGGTGATTGATGTCTTCAAGATCCAAATCTACATCGTAATCGCCTTCATCAATACCTGAAAAATAATTAATTGTAGCATCCGAGTGTTTGCCAACAGGGATCTTAGTGTTATCATGACATCGGTTATTTGAGGAGTTTGTATTACTATGGATCAGACACCTGGATATTAATAGTTTTTTCTAAGACCAAGGCACTCTGCAAACCTTCGGGCTACCATCAAAGATTTGTCCATGAAAGCCATCCAGATATATAAACACAGAAACAATTTCAACCGAGAAGATGGGTATAAGTTGACGTTATTAACTAAGCAAAGTCGTAACTTGCTGTGGTGCCTCCATTCTTCCCTGCCGTTTGGCTGTTTATCTCCGACTCTCTGAGTTACATTGCCCTGTTAGGTGCCTCCGCATTAATGGGCTGGGGTCTCACTAACATGGCCACCTCTGCTCCCTTTGCCTCGATGTATCGATGGTTCTGGCTGTGTGATGGGCTGTGTGTCTCACTGGCGCGACCACCGTTGATGTGGTTCTCTTGCGTGGACGCGCTTGCCTCTCACAGCGCAGTTGGCAGCGCCGCAGCAGCTTGTGTTACACATAGACATGACATTAACTTGCTAATCCACTTAATCTCTCTGCCTAATCTCTCCCATCAACATAGTGCTAATCTCCCATTAACACTGCTGTTGTGCGCATATGCGGGGGAGATACTCTTATGCGGCGACGGAAGCTCATTTCATGCTAATTTATCTCCCTATTCTCTCTCTCCCTAATCTCCCCCATTAACACAACTGACGTGCTTGCGTGCGGGGATGGAATTCCTTTCCTGCTCAGACCCCGCCTGCTTGCCCTTCCCCACATATATAACCTCTTGCTGTAACAGCTCTCTCCTGGTTCAGCAGTTCTACTGCTGGGTTATTTTTTCCGCCTTAGGACGACCGCTTGTGTTGCGATCGAAACGTCGTGATATATTATTTTTTCTTCTTTGGTTCTTTCGGTAAAGTCACGTAGAATGAGAATAAAATAATAAATTGATAAAATAAAATAACACAATAATATTCTCACGACGTTTTGGCCACAACACAAGCGGCCTTCATCAGGTGAAGGGACGAGACTGTCTGGTAGGACAGCGCTGGAGTGAAAGAGCCACGTTCAGATCACGACCTTTAAGCTGTGTGAGAGGAAACAAAGCGCCTTGACAAAGGAATTAGCATATAATTTAGCATTGAAATGGCTGAGTGATTAGCTAGTGACTGGTCACAGAAATGACTATGTTGAAGTCAAGGCTTACACATCTGAGCTATTCACAGTACTATATAGTGAACCAATAAAAACTAAAATATAAATTACCTTAATGTTATCAATAAACTCTATATTCTCCAATCAGCTAAGCAACCAACAATAAGTCGTTATATATCACAATGCTATATGGCGAAAAAATGGGTGGATTCTTACCCTCAACTTTAGCACCACGGATAGCTTAGAGTCGCGGCATCCGTAGTGCTAAAGTTGAGGGTAAGAATCCACCCATTTTTTCGCCATATAGCATTGTGATATATAACGACTTATTGTTGGTAGCTTAGCTGATTGGAGAATATAGAGTTTATTGATAACATTAAGGTAATTTATATTTTAGTTTTTTATTGGTTCACTATATAGTACTGTGAATAGCTCAGATGTGTAGGCCTTGACTTCAACATAGTCATTTCTGTGACCAGTCATGAGCTAATCACTCAGTTATTTCAATGCTAAATTCGCCTAGTTATTTCAATGCTAAATTCTCCTGTTTGATTTGTACTAAGTGCCTCGGTGAATGTGTATGCTCTGACTTAAACGTAGCTATTTCTGTGACCAGTTACAAGCTAATCACTCAGCTATTTCAATGCTAAATTCTATGCTAATTCCTTTGTCAAGGGGTGCCTCTGCGGATGTGTATGCTTTAACTTAGCTATTTCAATGCTAAATTCTATGCTAATTCCTTTGTCAAGGTGTGCCTCTGCGGATGTGTATGCTTTAACTTTTAAGATAGCTATTTCTGTGACCAGTCACAAGCTAATCACTCAGCCATTTCAATGCTAAATTATATGCTAATTCCTTTGTCAAGGCGCTTTGTTTCCTCTCACACAGCTTAAAGGTCGTGATCTGAACGTGGCTCTTTCACTCCAGCGCTGTCCTACCAGACAGTCTTGTCCCTTCACCTGATGAAGGCCACTTGTGTTGTGGCCAAAACGTCGTGAGAATATTATTGTGTTATTTTATTTTATCAATTTATTATTTTATTCTCATTCTACGTGACTTTACCGAAAGAACCAAAGAAGATGAATCATTGCAGTCACGAAAGCTTTAAATCGAAATATTATTTTTTATTTTATTTTTCTACCTACGTGATTTTACCGAAAGAACCAAAGAGTATGGATTCCTGCAGTCAAGAAAGCTTCAAATCAAGATTAATTCAGCATTTTTTTAAAAGTTTACATTTGAGCACAGGTATCTGAAATCGATGCTGGGAATTTCATCACAAGACCGTAAAGCAATGCACATTCTGGAGGTGACCACAAACAATAAAAAGCAAAACTTGTTGCGTCTGCAGGATGGGGGATGGCCAATAGCCGAGATAGCCATTAGAGTGGTCTCCACAATCCAGCTAGCAGGAAGAAGACCCAATAACAGATGATTGGAGACTTATGCCAAATATTGGAGATTGTGTCATGTCTATATTTAAAACTTATTATCATTAGAACTGTTCTTTGTGTTTAGTTTGTTGTCCTTCCCATGCACCTCCGATAAGCACGGTTGGCTACATACAGTGCAAAGTTCAACATACTTCCTGTGGGGCAGCTGTGGGATCTGACAGAGGGTAGAAAGCATTGATGAGGTGTGGTGGCATCAAGGGCTTTAGCCATCAACACATCCATCGATCTCTTGAAATGTCACAAGCAGAACCCTCCTGATAAATATTCCATTGTACAAAAGGAAAAACATCGGTAGAGACTCACCGTCCACAAATTCTGAGAGTGAGTGGAAGTCATCTTCTTGTTCTCCTCTTGAAAACTGGTATTGTCTGACATGGGGATTGTGTTGATTCTGGACTGTTTTTGTGGCTCGCTGCTCCTTAGGTAGTACACGGTAGTCCATAAACAATGCCTCAATCCAGGCAACCACGAAGGTTGTAATGGGCATCATAATTGCAACAGACTTATAACTGTTTTCACCTGAATACTGTTTGGGGGTAGGGGGGATATACATATACAGAGTATATTAGAAGTTAATAGAAATTTTTACAAAAGAACATTAATTTTTGGCACTCTTGAGTTTTCACATCAATTATAATTATGAAAAGGTAACATAATCCTAACCCCGAAGTCCTTCAGGAGAGTCAAGAGGTCAATCAGCTTTGAGGTAATGGAGTAGCTCAGGGTGTTAAAGCACTGAACCGGCACCAATGATATCCTGGATTTAAATGGGGCAGCCATCATAATTAAACTCTTCTTTGCAAATATTAGTGAGTTAATGGTCTCAGCATGGTCACCATGGATTTCACAAAAAACTTTCAGCATTAAAAAAATGGAAGGTTAATATGTGACCGTATTATTGTTTAGGCCAGGAACTGAAAACGAGTTAAAGGCAAGTTGAGCTTATGGCTTCGACAGGGCTCAGAGCACTCATTGTACATGCAATGGAACATGCATGCAAGGGACGCTGTAAGTCATACTGTCTTGCTGTCTTGGAGCACACCTATGTGTGTTGTTCAAATCTATGAGTTGCACTTTCAGACTGGTGGCTACACATTGATTTATTCGTTCGCTCGGACTCTTGCGCGGTACAGGAGCGCACTTCGTTGTGCTGACTTAAACCGTGTTTATTTGCGCAGACAGTTACAGACCCTGCACACACACACACACACACGCTTCTTCTGGTGTTGCTGCCGGTGCTGCCAGGGCCACTGCCGCTGTCGGTTCCACTCCTGCTGCTCGTTCCGGCGCTGCTTCTGCTCCTGCTCCTTGTGCTGATCGTGCCGGCGCTGCTCCTCCTCCTGCCGCACCCTGCGGTGTTTACCTGAGCTTCCTTTATAGGGGGTGCCCCCCCCCCACTGGGGTGCCCCCCACCCCTTTTGTCTTGGCCGGTCTCGAAACCCGAATCTCTGCCTGTAACGACTTTTGAGCATAAAGAACTCCCCTGCCCAAATCTATAGGTTCCACTGTTCTGTCTGGCACAAATTCAGAAAGGGGGGGAGGACTAATCACAATCCATTGTGCTACATGCTTCCAGCCTGCACGCATTTTCATGTTGTGGTGGGTTTTCTCATAATTTATAGAAAATTTAGTATTGAATTCTTGTTCCCTTTTGTCAAGAGCTATCACGGGTCTCCATAGTGCAGAGGGAAGCCCTCTTCTTCCTTATATGGGCTCCCAGATGCATAAGGTAGCAGTGAACATTGATGATAAGGATGCAAACAGTTGACAGTTGTCTATTTATTTCACTGCTTCCTCTTGGGATGGCCACATTTGCAACTCTTTTTAGTTTCTGGCTTAAACTATATGGCCACACATTCAGCTCTGTTGAGCTGGTGGCTTGGACAAGGCTGAGAGCAGTGTATGTGCAATATGGTGGTCGCTTGACATTCATGCAAGGCATGATGGGAGTCGTGTTTTCCTGCTGTTTGTGAGTGTATCTTTGTGCGCTTTTAAAGCTAGTACTTACATCCGTATACAATATCTTGAAAACGGCATATCCACTTGTAATACATGTTGTAGACTGTCGCAGAAATGGGAATAAATTATATATGTAAACATACATCATATGTCTAAGTCAGCATTACTTTGCAAATAGATAATACTTGCTGTTTATACAATACACCAGGTGTATAACATTTAAAGCAATATTTCTCAAATGTATTTCTGCCGTTTCATGAATATTTAATAGAAAATCTATACTTATATATAAACACATTGCATGTTGATTTAACTCTTATCTACTTATTGAACTCCTGCTTAAACAAATTCATTTAACTTTAATTGTCTTAATTATCTTGTAGGAAACAATAATGTACGCGAATATATGTATCACTAAGTCAAAGTGTTTCTGATAGCCCTGTGCCAATGGTGAACATTCAAAGTTCAAAACCTCCTATGACAGGGCCAGTCTCTCCAAAATCGTACACATATTAATAAAGAGCATGGTTCTGTAATGTGTTGTTGGGTTGTAACACGTGTTTCTCTTAAAGAACGAAAGTCCAGTTCCTGAAAAAGGTACCAGCACATGGAGAAAAACGTCAGACATACCAAACAACACAAACAAAAACCACATCGGAGCGCCATATGTTAAATCGGCAAAAAGCTTCACGGTAGAATGTAAGACGTACGTCGTACTGTAAGAGAGCCAAGGCTACTCCTGCTGTAGTTGTAAAGTGTAACAAGAGACTTCCCAAAAGTCAAAGACCACATTATGCATTCCCTAATATGCATAATTCGCACAAAATATCGTGTTTGACATATTATCAAGCTCTCCCAGCCAGATTTGTAGGCAACGGGACATCGAGGTCACGGTGTGGAATACGCCTTCATGTGTCTGCACGGTGTCAGTGCCTAAAAGTGCCGCCCGCTGTGATTGAGGTCATTCATCTTCATTTCATGGGCTCACATTTTTCCTGCATGATTTTCCACGTTGGGAAGTATAACAGGATCACATTTATATTCAGCTTATCTGAAATGCCGAATGGAGCTTTCACCTGTGTTGACGTCAAGCCCTATGCTGTTTAGCGTATAGAGTATGTGTTGATGGTTCGTGACATTACTAAGCCATTTTGTCACCCATGTTCGATCTCACTTGACACCCAGTTTCATACTCTTTTGCAATGTTGAGCTATGCCTTGTGCATGAATGACTGCACGTACAGGAATGTGATTAAAATAACATGACTAGAAGTTTGATGATGTTAATTGTGTCATTTTCATTCATGATAAATTTGGCTTTGCCAACTTTACAGCATTTACGTACATTTAGTATCAGAATCTTTATTTATCCTGCAGAAATTCGATGAGCTTTGAAGCTCTTTTTCACAGATATCCAGTAGGGGCAGTTCAAAAAGTTACAAAAAAAAACAAGACGAAAAATGATCGAAGTGCAAAATATAGGAAATGTAAGCACATCAATAAAAATAAATACATCACAAAAAATAAATACAAATTCCAATAGGATGGCTAACAAGTAAAATATACTGCTACTCTGATAGTTGTTATCAGATGTACCCTGGATATCAAAACCATGCATATCCCGCTTTGCCCTGTTGAAAGTTATGGGTATTGTTTAGACTTAAAACTTTCGTGACTGCAGGAATTCATATTCTTTGGTTCTTTCGGTGAGAACCATTACCGAAAGGGCCAAATAATATGGGTATTGTGGGAGAGTGAAATTGTAGTACAGATACGTCACAATAAAGCAGTTGACACGAAAAACCAGTGGTAAGTGAGAAGTGAAAATTTCGCCTGTACACGGAACACACATACATACCATATTCTTCGGGTCTTTCGGTAAAGTCACGTAGATAGGTTCAAAGAAAATAACAAAATAACTACGACGTTTCGATCGCAACACATCACAACACAAGCGGTCGTCCTGATGACGACCGCTTGTGTTGCGATCGGAACGTCGTAGTTTATGGACCAAAGAATATGAATTCCTGACCCAAAGAATATGAATTCCTGCAGTCACGAAAGCCTTAAGTCAAGATATACATACCATGTTAATACTGTACGTCTAAAGTGTTTTTTTATACATTATATATTTATTAACTTGCTCACAATAACTCTGCACAGGACGATTCAAACATGACTTTACGGTAAGTATTCTATCACTATCTTAAATTTCACACTTAACTTACAATTTAACAATCTTTGAAACAGCGTATTCAACCAAACCATGCGTTAATTGTGTTTTAACCGACCGTTTGTGTTGCTTTATATAGTTTCCAAATTTTGCTAAACCCTGTTTGATTTAGTGTGATGTTCCGTCTCTCTGTATCCCTTGGTATATCTGTGTTAATTCTCCCTACTTAAGGCCTGTCTGCGGTTATATGATTCCTCTACCTGATGATGATTGCTTGTGTTGCGATCGAAACGTCGTATGCTATTATATAATTAATTTTTTTCTTTTTTATTATTTCTATGTGACTTTACCGAAAAAAACAAAGAATTACTTTGTTACTCCTGGTAAAAATCGGCAAAGTGGCTCTGGAGTAGTGAGTGGCTCACAATAAGAAGGTTCTGAGTCTCAACCCTGATTTGAGGTTGACTCAGCCCATAATCTCTCTAGGGTTCATAAAATAGGTACCACTTTGTAGGGAAGTCAAGAGTAGTCCTATGGAAAGACTGACCCTTCGTCATATAAATGTGGAATTTCTTCACCGGCCTAGGGCTATAAACATTAAATGGCCACCGCCTCTATGCTTATCTGAGCAGTAAATATACTTCGGATTTGGTTTTGAATACATTTCCTGGAGGAAATGTTATATGTTTGATGCCTGCTTGGTTTGTGGATAAAAACACGAGGTAATGCTGCTGCGGTCTGTGGGTGGTTTTTGTGTGCCGGCTCACCGCGACAGGAAACCTGGATTTACATTTGCACGTCGCATACGCCAGCAGCAGCATTGAGGCCCGGAAAATTGCCAGCCACTGTGGGGGAGCACACAGCATGTGAACATAAGCACTGCAGTCCTATTTAATTGCAGCTGAACTTGTTCATGAGGTATGCAACCCACATAACGTGAATTGTGGGAAAAAGAATCAGTTGCATACATGGAAATTGTACCCACTTACCTGGGCTGTCATTATATATATATAAAAAAAACATTTTTACGTGTTTTTGAGGCTCACAATACCCAGAAAAGCTGGGGGAAATTGCATATAGCACATTTGTATGCCAGGCATTTTCAGCAAACCGAGCATTTGTAAAGCCCTCCTGTCATTTACTCATTCATCATCTGCCAGTTTGTGCAATCTGCCAGTTGCATTCGTGAGATTGTCAATGTATTAATTTATTTATCACTTAAGTGAACTTATTCATTAGAGGAATAATGCATTAGCCCCCCAAGGTAGAATAGGTAAAACCCTGCACTCAGAAGTGTAGATGGCTCAGAAAACTATGTAAAAAAAAAAGTTATAATTGCCAAATCCAATCGCTTTAGATGGGCAATTTTTTGGAAAGTTATCCAGATAATTTCTGGTCAGCTATTACATTTATTAAAAATACCATGTTTGCACGTAATAAAATATAATACACTGAAACTGCTCATGACATGTTAGATTACATACACTTGCATTGTCGGTGAATGAAGTTAAAACCACATTACATTTTAATTTAAGGTCCTTGCATCCTCATGCTTTTTGCTGAATGCAGGCAATATGTACTGTTTAACGCACTGACCAGCGTGATCAATGATCAAGTAATGCTCATTACCCACACGGCAGGAGGCCTTCATCCAGCAGTGGCCTAACAAAAGGTCTGTGGATATAAATGACGTCATTTTATTTCCCAGGTTATTACCCAGGTTTGCCTTGAAAAATATATAAGGCGAGTCATAGTTCAGGAAGGAGGTTTACCCAATTTGACTTAATTATACTGTGTGAGTAATGTTAACGTTGATACTTGGGGTCAGACATAACAGGAAGCCTAACTTGCTACTTCAGGAAAGTTAGAGTTGTCACATTGTTTTCAAAGAAAAATAAAATATTTCACGCCGTGAAAGTTAATATTTATAATTATCATTCACCATGGGGTTTCAATATATATAACTCAGCTCAATCCTCCCGTAAATCACGTGACTTATGTTTGGCCACCCCCCACTCTGAATCCACTCTCTCTCCCCACTGCCCCCTGTGGAAACAGATGCTGCTCCGTGTAGCGTTGAGGCCCTTGTGCAGTCTCTTCCTCCCCTTTTCTCGTCTTTCCGAACCCTATAGTCACATTTCTCTCCTCCTATTCCATCCTTTCCCTCTTTCTGTTTTCTCTTCCCTTACCCATCCCTTTTTCTTCTTTTCCACGTATTATATTCTTAGCTCTACTCTCCTTCGCGCTGTGTGTCACGGGTAAAACGTTGCTCGTGTTCAACCAAATAGAAGGAATGACAATGGATGAAAGGCTACATGGGTTGGGTGCAGAGAGGCGAGCGGGGGATTAAATTGTGTAATGGTTTTTAAAAATAGATGAGAGAATGTGCCAAATACACATTCATCCTGTAAAATGCATTTCCCTCATGTGCCCTATCGCAAGATAAATTATTTAGAGAGATCAGAGATATGCAGCTAAACTTGTTTGTCGGTGCTCATATGGGAAAAACGTATGCATCACAATATCCTTCAGTTTTCATTTCTACAAATGCTAATTAAATAACGTATCTTAAAACACACTACCACCCTTGTTTCCTCACCCTGAAGGTACGTCTTTCGGGAGGACTATGCAGTCATTTGTACATGGCCCTCTTCACAGAATTGGGACATTTATTACTATACACATGCAATTGTAACTGGGTGAATGACCAATGTAAATTATAATGCTTTAATTTAAAAAAGGCATTCCCATAAACATTGCCCTATCATTTAATTAGGGTTGGAGTGAGGTTTAGTGTCAACGTTTTCGGTCAAGAGTAAATGCAAAAGTTCACATTAGCGATGGCCTTATTAAGGTTTAGCACTTGCAGTATGCTGCACACACGTCGTGCGAATTGGCATTCATGCGATGAAATCATGATGCTCTGGAATTTTTGGGTAGCGTGAATACAGCACTCAAATTAATTTCGATGATTAGCAACACTTTTATTTAAAAAATAGGTGAAAATGTGTTGTGCGATACTCACAATTATGTCAAACGATGTTTTGCTCACATCAGTCTGTAACATCTCTTCGAGTACAACTTCTGGATAACTGAAACCTATCTGTAATAATAATCCAATTCATAAAGCACCTTTTATCGAGGATCTCAAAGCGTTGCACAATACACAGCAGCAAACACTCAGCATAAAACAACTTGTGAAACAACAAAATTAAGTAGTGAGAAAATAAATGCTGAAAGACATTTTATGAATTAATGAATAGTTGAATCAACAAAAGAATATGAATACGTTTTAGACATGTTTTAAATATATATCCAGACTCAGAGATCCTGAGATCTCATGGTACAGAATTTAGGAGTCTGGCGGCTGCAAGGGAACAAGCTTGGTTGCCCATAGACCGAAGCCTCGACTTGGAAACACAGAGAAGATCTCCATTCTACCGGGCACGTCCCACTGCGTGAAGACCCCGGGGCGGGCCCAGGACACTGATGGGACAATGTCGCATGGCTGGCCTGGGAACGTCTGAAAATTCCCCAGGAAGAGCTAGAACCTGTCGCCAGGGAAAGGGAGGTCTGGACCGCTCTACTCAACATGCTGTCGCAGCGACCCACACCGGGACAAGCGGATTGAGAAAGGAACGAAAGTTCTCCCTCCCTTTCGAAGACAATTTTGGAAACATTTCTTGAAAAATCCGAACTTTCACTTTTTGCCTAAATAATCAACAGATTTATCATGATAAAGAAGGCACGTTTACCAAAATAGCTTGTTGACATTGTCACCTTATGATTGTGACCATGTGCACTGTCAGGTTGTGTGATTCGACCTTTTGAAAAGAGTGCATACAGACCGTCCATTCACATCTTGTCAACCCTGGTTAATAGGCATAGTGAATAGTGGGATGTGTACTGCAGGTTTTGGACACGTGAATATTTTTTTCTGTTCATAGTGAGGCCAGCAACTACATTGTGTGATTGAATTAAAGTCCAGTACTATGACTTTGATACAAAGTAGTGGGAGAAATCACTAATGCTAATAAATGTAACTTTTTAATTGAAACTACATGCAAATCGATGCATCAACTTGGCACCTAATGTGCTGAACACAAAATAAACGTTTCTAGATTTGAAGCTTTCGTAACACAAAAAATGTCACCTTCTGATTGGAACCACGTAGACAACATGACTGCTTCTTCTGCCGATTCACTTTCAGTCAAATGCAAAGCTAACCTGATTTCTAAATTCAACCACCTATCGAATAAGAACCCAGTCCCACATATAACAAAACTAGACGTTAACAAAATCGTCATTAATCAGAGTAACACCCCGATTTCGGACAATCTGAAAACAGTACTGGCTAGAGGGCTAAATTTTGCTGTCACCCGGAAACATATTCCTGTAGATGATATCATTTCTCAGGTCGATGTAGCCCTCAAAGGCATAGGACACATCCAAGCAGATGTTGCGAGAGCTGAAATAGCCACTATTCTTAAGAATGCTAAGAAACCCATTAGCACAATCAGAAAAAATGAACGCTATGAACTCGCGAATTTAAAAAACAGAAGTGATATAGTCATCCTCTCAGCCGACAAAGGCAACGCTACTGTAATTATGGATAAAGATTCGTACAACAACAAAATCCAGAACCTACTCAACGATAGAAGTTACTCAAAAATAATAAAAAAAAATTACCCTACTAATAGCCTAACTATAAAAACCAACAAGATCATCACAAGTTCGACCTCCCTAATCGAACCAACTAAACGTCCCTCCCTAAAACCTTCTGCTGCAAGACCCCCTAAATTCTATGGTCTCCTCAAGATTCATAAAGAAGGCACTCCACTACGACCCATCGTATCCACGATCAACTCCCCTACCTATAAGCTAGCACGTTTTCTGTCAGATACCTTGCTACCTTTCACTGGCAAGACCTCCTCAGCAGTACTTAACTCAGCCCAATTGGTCTCTATGGTCAAAGACGTTGTACTGTCCCCTGATGATATCCTTGTCAGCTTCGATGTGGTATCCCTGTTCACCAAGGTCCCGGTACCTGACACGTTTGAAATAATTGAAAATTTGGTACAACATGGACTAGACCCCGATACACCTGCGCTGGTTAGACACTGCCTCACCAATACCTACTTTACTTGGAATGGCACCTTCTACAAACAAAATGAGGGTACCCCCATGGGTTCTCCCTTATCACCATTGATATCCAATGTTTTCATGGAAAATTTTTAATCAGACGCCATCCAGACTTCCACCCTCAGACCTTCCCTGTGGAAGAGATATGTAGATGACACTTTCGTTATTTGGCCACATGGCCTCCCAGCTTTGAACCTTTTCCTAGACCACATTAATTCCAGACACCCCGCCATCAAATTCATTGAGACATTCTGTCTACAGGAAACCCACCCACACAGATTCCTACTTGAAACCTGATTCCCACCACCACCCGACGCAAAATAATTCTCTCATCAAAACGTTATATCACAGGGCTCATTGCATTTCGGACCAACACCACTTGACCCGTGAATTAAAACATGTACATCTGACCCTCAAAAGGAATGGATACTCTGACCGTACCATCCGCCAAGCTGTTTCTCCCTCCATACAGAAACAACCACTTGATACTCCGATTAAAACCATCACACTACCATATATAGCAGGCATTACTAAAAAGATCTCCAAAATTCTAAACAAACACAAGATCCTGGTCCGGTTCAATACAGTACACAAAATCCGTGACCTGATCCCTTCCGTGAAGGATGTCATTCCTGACTTACAGTACCCCAGAGTTTACAAATTGATCTGCACCTGTGGTGACTGCTATATCGTGGAGACGAAACGACATGTCTCTGACCGAATTCGCGAGCACAAATCAGATTTGAAACATGGCAGAACGAATTCTTCTGCCGTAGCTGATCACTGTTACAACGCTGTGGGTGATCACGATATAGTCTTCTCCGATACCAAGGTTCTATGTAAACCCACGGGTTTCTATCAGAGATTTGTTCACGAGGCAATTCAGATTTACAAACACAGACACAATTTCAACCGAGAAGATCGCTTCAAATTAAGCAACCATTGAAAAGATGTTCTAAATCGAACTAAACGTTAAAGGAATTTTGAATGGTACAGTATGTTCATTAATTTAGTGGCATCCCAAACTCTCACGGTGGTGCTAATGTATTTTTGATGCTATTTGCGAGCTTGCACAGCTTTACATTTTTATGCTAATTCCTTTGTCAAGACGTTTTTTCTGTTTACCCACTCACAGCTTAAAGGAGGCGACCTGCGCTGGACTTGTTTAATGGTACAGTATGTTCATTCAATTAGTGGCATCCCAAACTCTCACGGTGGTGCTAATGTATTTTTGATGCTATTTGCGAGCTTGCACAGCTTTACATGTTATGCTAATTCCTTTGTCAAGGCATCTTCTCTGTTTACCCAGTCACAGCTTAAAGGAGGCGACCTGCGCTTGACTTTTTTCACTCCAACGCTGTCCCCTGGACAGGTTGGTCCCTTCACCTGATGAAGGCCACTTGTGTTGTGGCCGAAACGTCGTGATTTTTGTTTATTTTTTACCTACGTGACTTTACCGAATAGAACCAAAGAGTACAAATTAAACGTACCTATTTGCATGTACAATTAATGCCACCTTGTACCTTTCAAATACTAAACCAAACACGTCAGTGGCAAAGCAGCGTATATTCAATGATATTATTACATTGCGATGTTTATTAAATTGTTCCATTAAGAATTTTAAAAAACAAGTAACATACCTGGGAACTTTTAATGCTGACCATAATCAACCACAGCATGACGATGAAAATGCAATTGAAAAAGGTAAAGAGGCAGAAGGTTCGCCGCTCCTTTGACACGTGGCAGGTCCTTATGGAGACTGGAGAAATCCCAGATGACAGCAAGGCTGCTGTCTCATCGTCGTTGCCATCGATGCGGACAGATGAAGAGGGCTCGTGGTCCACACACTCTCGATTGTATTCCGGGCACTCGCGGTCTTCGGGAGAATTCATGATCGGATTTCAGGTGCAGAAAAGCGAGACGTTTTCTTCTGTGCGGCATCCGTGCTTCATCACAGCTGTCCCGTGGATTTGTCTGGGCAGCAACGCCGACGATTCCGTAAAGCGAAGAGAGCCGGGGTTGATTCTGCCACAAACGTGTGCCTATGGGTGGAAGGTGGAAAGCCCTCTTGCTCGTAAATACACTTGGAGATACGCTGTTTATGATCGGTATAACACGCCACAACGTAGACTGCTTGTCTAACAGGTATAAACCATGCAAATAGAACGCTTGATGTCTTCACCACCACTTGGCTCGACGCAATATTGCACGGTATATGTTTTTTTCAAATAAGTTTGTACAATTTCCCTACAACTTATCTTTTTTATTTTTTATAAACTATATTCACGTGAGAGCATTTTTTTAAAAACTATGATCAAGACATTGTAAAGTACAGTAGGTGTGTTTGTTTGCATGTTGCTACCACACTGTTGTAATATAATGGTGTCACAAGACATTATATTGACCCATTATAATGTGCAAACTGCTGGACTTTGACTAGATGCCCCATTGGGTGTTTTAGCATTCGGTATAAATGTTACGTTTAAACAGTCACGAGACTCAGTGATAGTTAAAACTGTTAGTGTTTCACAGTTCACACGGTCACACTTCATCACAAAGAGACGCAGTATTATTGATGTGTAAATCATAATATATTAAAATACATTAGAATAACCAGTGGTACTGTAATGATTAGCATGGATGGCTGTGTAAGAAGTTCAACGTACATACAAGTGACAAAAAAGGCTGAAAAGTGTGGCTTAAGATACATATGAGCAAAACGCAAATAAGAATGTACAGCTCTAGATTTGAAGCTTTCGTGACTGCAAGGATCCATACTCTTTGGTTCTATTCGGTAAGTCACGTAAAAGTATAAAACAACAAAAAATAAAATAAAAATACAAAAAAATATACAAAAAATATTTTTATTTTTTATTGTTTTATACTTTTACGTGACTTTACCGAATAGAATGTACAAGTTCGCTGAACAAGAGGAAACAACAGCGCAGCCAACACCGTGTCTCGGACATTTATTGAAGGAGGATTCGGATGAAAATTATTCAATAAAGACGTGGGCAAGATCAGGATGGAGTGATTTTGCAAAATGAACTTTTATGTTGAAGTAACATACCTACGTGCCGAAAGAAGAGAGTTTCGATATTGCTCGCCACGATATACGGATTGGAAACATTGAAGCTAACAAAATAACACGGAAAGCAACTTGAAAAGTACAGAAAGAAGCACGGATAAATGCACGCGGAGAATTACACTGGAAGAGAAATAGAAAAACACGGATCACAAATGGCTGGGAATAGGCTTATTCCCTTTTCACGTCCGTCACCTTTCAATTAGTTTCTTTAGCGGGTTTTTTTTTGGTGGAGATTCTTTATTAAACTTTTGCCTATTCTTTATTTATTGCCCTTTTGCCGCGCGCTGGGTCACAACGCAGCCGGCTGAACTTGCGCCACAGCGCGCCCACGAGGTGACCCCCAGCAATCCACACGCGCCATCGCCCAAGGTAAGTCGCACACTTTTGTTTTATGTGCTTTTTAGATAACGCGCACGTCCCACTAATTTGTCTTATGAGCATTTATCCCATTACACACTTTGCACTGCCCACAGCAACGCGCACACGATCGCAAATTTTATTTCGCCTTACGCATGCAGCTAAAACACACCAAACACGTACATTCTCCACTGTGCGATGCCCTCTTCTACCCACCACACCCCAATGATACCCCAATGCGTCCTGAAACTACTATAGAGCCCCTACATATCGTCATTATAGCGCTTTCATCACATTGTCGCGTTGCCGGGGGGACCGGCCCAGCCCCTAACCTGCCAAGGTCACACCTCGGCGGGCTGGGAAATCTAGGCGAGCCAGGGGCCTCTGCACGCGACTAGGCCTCACCACGGCACTCTGTCTGCTTACTACTTTGTGCTATACATTCCATATATACTGCTATACAGTCAGCATGTACTACTGTCGTGCTAGCAGGTACCACCACAGTCAATATGCACTGCTGTAGTTAAAGCAGGTACCAAAGTCCGTATGCACTGCAGTAGCTAAAGCAGGTTCCATAGTTCCATTTATTTGGTATAGCCCTGTGAGCCATTCGGCTCTTGAATCGGGCGCAACCGAAACAAACAAAAAACATGAACAAGAAAACATCTTAAAGTGACTCTGTGTGATTGTGCAAACAGAAAATCCAGGAAAAAACATACAAATATTCCTGAAATAGCACCGTACACCAACGCTGTGTGCAAAAATCCCAATGGGATGCAAGTCAAACAACAACAACAAACACAAGACAACTAAGATTAAGGCCATCAGTCTAACTCCATACTACAATAAACAAAAACATGTCCAAAACAAAAAAACGTTTATGAAAACACCAAAATAAAAGCCAGAAATGCAATGTAACAGTGATCATAGGGACTGTGACCGAATTTTTTACAATAAACTACGTAAATAAATTATAACACCAAAATCTAGAGCCATATTTTAAGCCACTGAATAGCAGTGGCAGCTAGGGGTGTACAACTCCTCTAGAGCAGTTTTGAGTGAAGATCTCATAGGTAGTGATTCAAGTTGCAGTTTATTGGCAATAGCATTCCAGACCCTGGGGGCATAAATAGCAAAGGCCCTTCCTCCGGTTTTTTTTGTACGGCAATAGGGAATGTGAAGCTGGTAAATGAGCGAAGACCTGAGGTCAAATTTGTTCTTTGAAACAGCGAGGAGATCCAGTAGGTAGTCTGCGGATTTTTTTGTAAGTACATCGTGAATAAATAAGATCTGGTGCACAAGCCGTCGAACATTAAGAGATGTTAAGTTTGACCCAATGTAGAGATCACAGTGGTGAGTCCTATATGGGCAGTTCAATGCAAATCTTAAGGCCGAGTGATAGATGGAATCAAGCTTCTTCAGTACAGTACTTGGGGCTTATTTATACACGATGTCACAGTAGTCAAGTAGAGGCAGTATGGTAGCTTTTATCAATTCCAAACGGAACATTGGGGGGAAGCAGTGCTTGTGTTGATACAGAAAACCAATTTTATTTTTGTCTTTTTACCAATATAATCAATGTGATCTTCAAAATTCAGTTTTGAATCCAGGATAACCCCAAGATACTTATAGATCGTGACTTGCTCTATTTGATAATTATTCAAGGAATGTAATTGGGGAAAAATAACTTCCTGTTACTCCACAACAACAGGATCATCAGTCGGAGTATCACATTTTTCAATGCACCTTTAAGATCAGCACACTAAATCAAAATACAGATAATACTTTGCAGCGGTCATCTGGAGCGAAACATTTTATTTTATTTTAGGCCACTGATTAGCAGTGGTAGCTAGGGGTGTACAACTCCTCTAGAGCAGTTTTGAGTGAAGTTATCATAGGTAGTGATTCAAGTTGCAGTTTATTGGCAATAGCATTCCAGACCCTGGGGGCATCAATAGCACCTCTGTATGCACTGCTGTAATCATACCAGCTACCACCACAGTCGGTTTGCACTGCTGTAGTTTAAGCAGGTACCACCACTATCCGTGTGCACTGCTGTAGTGATAGTGCATACCGTCAATGTATGTGTGCGTAAGTCCATTTGTATGTGTTAGTCAATGTGTGTGCATGGTGTCCGTGTGTAGACAACTACTCTTTTTTAATTAAGTTACTTATTTTCACAATAATAATGCCTGCGTCTAAGTCCATGTGTGCGTGTGGGTCGATGTGCGTGTCTGTGGCGATGTGTGTGTGTAAGTCGATGTGTCTGTGTGTGTGAGTCAATATGTCTGTGTGTTTGTGTCAGTCGATGTGTTTGTGTGTGTCAGTCGATATGTGTGTGTTTGTGTCAGTCGATGTGCGTGTGTGTTAGTCGCTGTGTGTGCGTCGCTCCATGTGAGTCAGTGTAAGTCAATTTCTTTCTGTGTGTGTATTTTGGTCCACGTGTGCGCATAAGTCCATGTGTGTGTGTCAGTCCATGTGTGTGTGTGCGTGCGTCGATATGTGTGTGTAAGTTCATATGTGTGTGTCAGTCTATGTATGTGTGTGTGAGTCTGTGTGTCTGTAAGTCGATGTGTGTGCGTGGGTCCATGTGTGTAAGTCCCTGTGTGTGTGTGTCTTAGTCGATATGTGTGTCTTTGTAAGTCCATGTGTGTTTGTATAGGTCAATGTGTGTGTGAGTCTATGTACCATCGGACACTCCACGCGATGCTCACAACAACGAGCGGACTGCCGGGTGGCTAAAGCACAGCAAGTCGGCGCAGTAGGGGGCACAGGTGGTGCATCAGCCAGTCATCTCAGTCGTCTCAGTCAGTCGCCCTGTGGCATCTGGCTCTGCCCCGTGACCTCCTGCCAGCGGGCGTTCGACACTTCACGTGGCCTCAAGGTGCACGTAGCCTGGCACAAGCGTTGTGGTTGCGTCACCGCCACTTAGTGGCGAATGGCGGTTGTTGAGTCTATGTATCTTTGTGTGAGTCGATGTGTGTGTAAGTCTATGTGTGTGTGTGAGTCGATATGTGTGTGTAAGTCTACGTGTGTGAGTCCATTCGTGTGTGTAATTACATATGTGTCTAAAGTCGATATCTGTGTGTGTGAGTCCATGTGTGTGTGTGTAGGTCGATGTGTTTCTATGTGTGTGGGTCGATGTCTGTGTGTGTAAGTCCATGTGTGTCTGCCTTTTTCGCCCGGGCAACGCCGGCTACTTACCGCTAGTATAAAATATGCGGGAACTTCACGTGTGGATAAGTGTGAAACTTTGTGTTTTCATATGCTTGCACTTCAGTCAAGGATTTTTAAGATGCTGTTTTTGTAAATCATAGGCTGCTGCTCTTGTTCTTACGACAGCATAACTGATTTGTATTTTTAAAAGTCTGTTGTGATTATGGATTCCAATTGCAGCAGTCTAGGCTTTTGTGCAATGAATACTAAAACGTCGCACTATATGGCAAAATTGCACCAACTTACAGTTAGAGATTGCCAGAGAAGAAACGCAGCAGAGTTGTGATGCAGAGACAGTTCGCTCCCTACGCTCTAAACCCAACCTACCTGAGTTAAATTCCCAGCTACGGGTAACACGAGTGGCAGGTGTCATCTAAACAGGTCCTGGGGGGTGGAGGGGGGACCTCCAGTCACCAACCCGCACTGACCAGCGTGGCGAAGTATGGTCAAACAACTGTCATGACCATCACGGCGTGGGGACGGAGGCCTTCATCCAGCAGTTGTTTGCCAAAATGCTTAAATTATACTGTACTTAAAAAAATAGCAAATGACTGTAGCATGCAGCCTAACTTGACGTTTGGCTTGTATGTTTTTTTTTCCCGAAACATTGATTACCACAGAGTCTCCAAACAACACACGTTTAAGGAACCTATCCTCGCCGAAACTCCGTGCAGAAATGAACAGTTATCACCACTTTCTTCATCTGCCACCTGTGGCAAATGTCATTTGTTTTAACATTACCAGTGATCGAGTACTTATCACTTTGAGCCTGTACATCAGCATCACACAAACAAGCATATTTAAGTATACACACACAAACACCAGGGTGTGTTATACGTGATTAAAGCTGTGTGGTAACTTACCAAAATGTATTCGCAGCGACTGGACCCGGTTGAAACAAGAAAATCAAGAATCTTGCTAAGTTTCACATCATGTATATGTGTGCTTGCACTTCCGTGTGACGTGCATCAACAGGCTGCTATGGAATTTCCCGTGATTAACCCTTCCACCCTACCCCTCTGTTGATAAGCAGGAAGCCCATCCAAGGTCATCGCACCTAACTAAAGGTGCTTTTCATCAAAGTTATGTCAGAATTTCCCATTTTAAATGAATGTCACGCGCGGTGCAAAGGGTAATAAAGGCGCATCCCTGCAATTGATTTCGCTCGCTCACGCCACTGCTGGCGGAAGAGCCTCCACCAGGATTGAGCTCTGGCGGGTGGTGGGCCGGGTATTTTGTCTACTCTTCCAAGATATTTTATTGTTGCGTGTGGCAGCGATACGTCCAGGAGCTAGATGCCAAATGTCGATGTCTGCTGGCCATGACGAGAGGGCTTCAGGAAGAAAGTTCGTGGAGTTTTGCTCTTCCTCCGTTGACGGAGCTCAGACCACATTTGGGTTTATTATATGGTCCGTAGTTTTGGTAGCGTGGCTACACTAGCACTACTATATGGCTTGTCTTTCATTCATCAGGAACTCTTCCATACCCGCATCGATTTCTTCCGTGGAAATGGCTTCTAAGTCCAACCGACACTAACCCGCCCAGGTGCCTTCTGGAAGGGTATTCTAATAAGAGACTGTACAATCGTTATCTCTACCTTTCTACCAGCATAGTTATGACTGAGAACTTGGGTGTTAGCCGTGTCCGGGAATCAAACTCGACTCCCCGGCTATTTCAGGGAGCTGTGAGATAACCATTGCGCCACTCATAAGAAAGTTTTTTTTTTGGGTTAGATCGCGTAAGTAATACACCTTACAATTGTATGCCTTGTAAGGGCATCACATACTAATTAACTGTGATTAACAATATAATTTACAATAAGCCCCTCCCCTGCTCTCCGCACATGATTGACTCACAGTGACATCTTGTCTGTTTAAGACTGCAAGCAGGGTAGATCTCCATAGATGTTTTTTTTTGGGTTAGATTGCGTAAATATGTGTCGTTAAACCCGCCACCACCCGACACAGCCAACTAGTAAGGGTTGTCACGTAAACAGAACGTGTTACTGGCGAAACTTCGTACTCGGATTGTATATGTGGGTTTACTCTCTAAAACACTGGTGTGCTGTACTAGTAATGAATTGGCATGTTTTGACTTAAAGCTTTTCGTAACTGCAGGAATTCATACTCTTTGGGTCTTTCGATAAAATCACGTAGATAGAAAAATAATAAAAAATCACGACGTTTCGATCGCAACACAAGCAATCGTCCTCTATCTACGTGACTTTACCGAAACACACAGAGATTATGGCATGTTCTGTTTACGTGGCAAACCTTACTAATTGGCTGTGTCGGTGGTGGCGGGTTTAACGACACATTTATATATTTACACGATCTAACCCAAACAAACCTGTATTATGGATGATATTGGTCGCGAAAGCCTACGTGTTAAAGTGACTGGCTGGATTGGGGAGGTCAGTGTCAGTGTTCAAGAATAATCATGGAGGGGCAGCCAAGGATGTCCACTGAGGAGTTGGGGCAATGAAATCAGCTCGCGTGTAGCTATGTAGATTATTACTTCGCAGGATTGTGGGAACGGATGGTGACAGTGGGGAGGCCTTCATCCAGCAGTGAATTGATCATGGCTGATGATGATGATAATGTACTGTCGTGAATATAATGTCGACGCTCATTGATTAAAATAAATACACAACCCTAGAGGAAGCCAGGAATCGGTTCAGATATCACTCACCATTGATGATAACTGTGGTCGGGAGTCGAACCCAATCCTCTGGGATCACAGTGAAGTGTGCTAACCACTGTGCCACCACTCTCCATGCATAACGAAGGTGTCAATTCCCCTTGCCTTCAGCAACATCTAATGTACCTTCACACCGGAGGTAGTGCACCGATGTAAGGTAGGGTTATAATGATATATTTTCAATTATTATGAACAGTACGTTCACGCGATCCGGTTAAAAAGTGTAGGATATAGAACATGATCATGGTACTGACATTTGTGTTTCTCTCTAACTAAATTTGGACACAGACGTATCACATGATAAAAAACGACCTCGCCCGTGCACAACGTATCATTTTGTGTCATTGTTCTCCGAGGGTGTAAAGCAAGTCCAATGTGTGGAAGACTGAATTGGCTGCAACATTTACAAATGAATTGCAATCAAAACAAAAGGACTCGTGGGGCCAGTTTATTGGTCAACTCCTGACAACTTTGCTCGTTTTGAGATGTTGGCTTTGGACGGATGACAGGCGAATATTATTTCAGCTCGGAAAATACATCGTAGTGATATGTTTGGGATCATTTGACTCAGGAATCCGTGACAAGTTGATTTCCAAAAAGTGATTTTTCCGTTTGCGAACCGAAATGTTGCCTGAAGACCATAAAGCAGAGTTTGCAATTGTCGTGCCTTAAAGGCCAAAACACATGCCAGAAGGCAAATACATGTTTTTGGTTCAATTCAGCCGTTCCACATGTATGTAGTGGAGTACGAAGGTGCGTGGTACAAACAGCGTGATTACATGATCACACAGACAATACGGGTTATCTTGGGTCAGCCTGTAGTGAAGGCAAATACAGTGCAGGTTATGTTGGGGCAATTAAGCTGGGTAGCCGTGGACGGCTGTGATTGGTTGGTGCTGTTGCCGGGGCTGGAGAGGCGTCTGGAAGTCTGGCCAGAAACAGGTGTGCCGGTCACGCGGAGCGCCATTGGGACGCGGGTTAATTAATTGGGGGTGTAATGAGAGCGGGTATAAGAGCGGGAGTCGGAGTCAACAGAGGGGAGTTGAGTTGAAGGAGTTGAGCTTGGAGATGGGTTGAAGTTGGAGAGCTTAGGGGAGCTGGAGTGAAGAGTTGGAGGTTGGAGTTGCTGAGTGCGAAGACGCTGTGTGCGAAGTCGTTGTGTGTGAAGACGCTGTGTGCGAAGTCGTTGTGTGTGAAGACGCTGTGTGCGAAGTCGTTGTGTGTGAAGACGCTGTGTGCGGAGTCGCTGAGTGCGAAGACGCTGTGTGCGAAAACGCTGTGTGCGGAGTCGCTGAGTGCGAAGACGCTGTGTGTGAAGACGCTGTGTGCGGAGTCGCTGAGTACGGAGTCGCGGAGTAAGCGAAGTAATCGTGGGGAGTGGAGAGACAAAGGTGGCGAGCGAGTCGAGTGAAGCACGGCGAGCGAGCCGTGGCGACCAGGATACTGTGGAATGTGGAGGATATGCTGAGAGTTGTAAATAAAGCGGTGTTCGGAGAAGGACAGAAGTTGTCCGAGTGAAATCGAACACTACATATATATAAAATCATTGCCACGATGCATTATTATTATTAACACGTTTAACTTGTCTGTACACCTTCAGAGAACAAAAAAACACACTCATACTTTCTTGTAATTTCAGATGAAGTGGCAAATTAAAACACTGCCTGCAAACTATACGAAAAAAAATCCTCAACACATTCGTCAATAACACTGCTTTAAAGTCACATAGTTAGAAATAAAATAAAACAAATCACGACGTTTCGATCACAACACAAGCGGTTGTCATCGATCGCAACACAAGCGGTCGTCATCAGGCTTGATGACGAACGCTTGTGTTGCGATTGAAACCGAAAGAACCACAGAGTATGGATCCCTGTAGTCACGGAAGCTTCAAGTCAAGATTGCTTTAAAATGTGCAATATCTTGGGCAATGGTGCCTCTTCATTGCACATACATATAGAGACCAGAGAGAGTGAATTAGAGATGGAGACTGTACTATACAGCATGGGGCCTGATCAGAATCGATTGTAAAAAAATCATAGGCCACCTCATTCAACCTGAATACATTTCACCCAGCAGGGCTGAATGAACGCCTCACCTTCACTCAAAAGATAGCTTTGTTATTGAGTGCTTGGCAACCCTTATCCTTTTAAGGTTCATACATGGTTTACCTCCGTTTGGAACACATATCTGCTTACATAACACACGATTTCTCAGTAATCTGTACAAAATAAAAGGACACTGTTTTTTTAAATTGCCCCATATATATCCCTCTACCCTACTTGCATGGTTTAGAAATTTTAAGCATTTGAAAGACCCTGTGAGAGCCAGTTGGATCCGATTGAAATTATAATTGAGCCCAAGATTGAGTCACTAAGTAGATAATGCTAATGTTTATTTTTGTGTGAAGGAGATAAGAGACGACACTGCAACAGGGTTACCCAAAATGCAATGTGCATGCAACATTGAATATTTTTTACTTTTACCCCAAATTATTTACGTAGTAAATACATTTTATTTATTGAAGGCTGTGTTCTAAAATCTACTAATAGGGTTACAATTCATGTGGCGATTTAAAACTGTTCACAACGAAGCATTTTTTTGGAAATTTAATCTTATCCGGCCCCATGGCGGTACTGTGCAGTCTCCAACACTTATTCCATCTCTCTGGACGATGTATGCGCCTTGCGGACGGCTCATTAGTGAAAGCATCACCTCATATATTTTTATCTTCAAGGCAATGTTATTGATGATTGTGTTGTGTTTTTTATTTGCTTGCTGCACCAATGCCAACGCAGCATCACCAAATACTTTATTTAATATAAAAACGTGGAACGTTTGGTTTTGTGAGTTGTTCCGTAGGGGCTGTCCATACGTTACGCACCTGGGGGGGGGAGGGGGGGTCAGACATGTGTGACGAGGGGGGGAGGGGGGGTGAGAAATGTGACGTCACATCAAAATGCGCAACTTTAAATAAATATAGACAACACGTTCTACTTAATTAAATATACTTTTTAATAAACGTTTTCTCCTACAACATCAGAGTGCAGCGCCACGTTAAATACGCACTACAATGACAATGGTTTAAAGCGATTTGAAGCATGTTTTATATATTTTTTTGGGGGGGGGGTGTGGCAGAGCTTTGTGACGTCATATTTGAGAGGGGGGGGTCTGACTTTTTGTGACGCTGTGTGACGAAGTGGGGGGGGGGTTCAAAAATCGTCCAAAATCGCGTGACGTCATTTATGGACGGCCCCTTAACCTCAC